CAACATGAATAAGAACAACCAAAAAAATGTGCAAAAGATAGGCCAAGACTATGAGAGAGTCTCCCTGACTGATGATGAAGTATGAGACTAAAGAAACAAGGGGATGAGAACAAGAAAATCGAACAGAGAAGATCTATACATATCATCATACAAACTAATAATGATGTAATTAACCAAAGTGCTCTAAAAGAGACTACATTATCATGTCCCTGTCCTCCCAGTGCGGACATCTGCAGACAGTCAACTATTTATTCAATCTAATAAAAGCACTGAACCGTGGCACTTCAAATAAAAAATGACCCCTTGAGTCTGTTTCAGTACAATAGGCTTCCTATATTCTCACAGAATAAGTAGAGAGATGTATTGTCGACTTAGTAAGTCATTTGTTGATTGACGTTCAGATCTGTGTATGAAATCTTCTAATTCACAAGCTCACTAAAATTAGTGTCGTATAAAACCAGAGACATCTGGAAGCCGGAAACAGCAGACCGTAAACAACAACAAAGACACATGAGCTTAAAAAGCACTATATTTTCACAGAAGCTCATAAGAGCAAGAGGAAAAGGAGCTTATTGGAAAAAAGAAAAAATCATTTACAAAAATAATATACAAGGCCAGATAATATCAAACGTAAAAAAAAATTGTGATGTTTATTTGTGATGTTTACTTTTTTGTGAATTCGGATATAATAATAATATAATATTAATAATACGTTTTATTTATAACGCACTTTTCATCCAAGGATCTCAAAATGCTACAGGTTAAAAACAATAAAAGAAACAGTTCTTTAAAAAGAGAGGAAAAAAAAGAAAAAATAACATCGAAAGGGTATCAAATAGTATACTGTTATACTGTTAATAGTAATAGTATACTGTATATAGTAGTATACTGTTAATGTAGTGTGAATTATTTCTGTAAAATATACCAAATTCTGTCAATTTCCCAAACCAATGACTAACTTGAACAATTAATCAATGTCTAGTCATTGCCTATCAAACACTAGCATGACTTTAAATCAACACGCATAATTTAGCACAAAACTAAAACGCTGTTTCAGAAAGAAATAAGCTTCACAACTAGCTTTTTCATGTTAGTGCTAACTAAATAAACCTTACAAGGGCTTTATAGATTCACATGTACCACGAGTCCCCATCCAACACATTACCTCATTTAGTCAAAGGGCTTTGTTGAGGATAAACAGTTTCATTTGCACCCAAGAGCAGCCCAGGAATTCCCTGGCAATTTTCTTTGTTGTGTTAAAGAGTAAACTGCTAAAAAAACGTGCGTATAAAGTACACACTTGGCATTAGCGAGTGTGCAGTTTCTCATTGTTATTAACTGAGGAGTTCAGTCAGTGTGTATCTCTGAGCAAAGTGCCGAAGAGAGATGAGTCTTGTATTTGTCCCAAAAGACATGGAGTGGAATAAAGTCTGTCCCTCGAGAGTCTCTAAAGAGACCACTGCTAATTGTCTGACAACCGCAGCGTGTTGCTCCTATTAATTCCCCAACAGCAGTTTAGAAGCTCTTCTATAGCGCGCTGACTGCAGAAAGTTAAAGGGACAATGTGTACTTTATGTATTTTATAATTTAAAATCAATATTTTTATTCATAAGTATGTCCTCAATGGTGTACAAATACCTCTGACAATTATTTGTGTTATCCTCGTAAACGAAGAATTTATCTTTATATAGAGAGCCTAAGTCCCTCCCCTTCCGGTCGACCACCATGGGACCTTATTTTGGAAAAATATTGAATGGTAGTCAATGGCGAGAGACAACAAATATTTTGATCTGGTTTGAATTGTGCCCTGAATTACACATATGATGTTTGTCAATTTAAAAAAATACATTTTAAAATAAAGAAAGTCGCAGTTTCATGTAAAACCGTTGAGGTATAAGACAAAGACGTAATTACAAAGACTACAAATCCCAAAGGCACACATTTTCTCTCAATGAATGAAGCTAACTTTACTGAGGCTAACGTCTGTCATTGTTTCTACAGTCTTACGTTATAATCGTAACGTTACGCCGTCACGCCTGAGTGTTTTGTACCACATGAGCAGCGGATCTCACTCGTTGTTTCGCTTCCTGGGAGATGTAGTTCATAGATAAAACTAAATGCTACTCTTCTGTTTTATGACAAACTGCGACGTTTTTGACTTTCAGAATTATCTTTTAAATTGACAAACATCATATGTGTAATTGAGGGCACAGTTCAGACGGAATAAAAAGATAAGTTGTCTCTCGCCATTGACTACCATTCATATTTTTTTTTTCCGAAATAAGGTCCCATGAGCCGGAAGCGGAGGGGCGGGACTTAGGCTCTCTATACATGGGACGGGTCGGTCCACGGAGGCTTCCATGTAGTTTCGCCATCTTGAAAAACTATAATAGCAGAGAGGGACGAAAAGTACTACGCCAACGCGTTTCCACAGCACGTTTTCGTTCAGAGCCAGAGTCATGTGACTGAACGCAGCAGAAGCGGAGGAGCAGAGCAGTTCGGCCACCAAACAAACAAAGCAAAGTCTGCACCTCCTCGTTTGACCAGTTGCCATAATAACAGTAGTCAGTTTAGTAACCATCTCTGGACAAACTATTTAAAAATGTCGGGGATATTCTGGAATGGATACTCAACCTGACGCAGTGAATGGTGACGATTCTCTCGGACCAATCAGCAGTCCGCATTGTTTACGTCACATTTTAGTATCGCCTTAGCTCGCTCAGAACCTCGCCGGAGGTGATTGAGAAAAAAAGTCCCCGAAAGCAGGAACAGGTACAACTTTTACACAGTGGAAAACCAAAAAAGGCGAGCCGAGTCGAGCTGGTACTGTGTAGTGGAAAACCGCAAATATATTTACACCGCTAGATGGGACAAATTCCTACACAATGTCCCTTTAAAGGACTCAAATAGAGGACTCAAAACATGCAAAACAGCACTTAAAGAAAGTAAACGTGCACTGCAAAAGTGATATCGGCACGAATAATAAATACACCATGTTATTTATGATGTCATCTAACGTTTTTCTATGTTAGCTCATGTATTAACAATCTGCTCCACTCAAACACTTCACTTATCTTAAAAGTCATCTGTGTAATTGCTGTTTTCTATCCGTTTCTCAAGTACTTTCTCACTTCCAGACCATTAAACAGTCCTATTCTGATAAGGCCAAGTTGCACTGAATACAAGCGTCACTTTTAGCCACCTCTGATGTGTGTTATCAGACAATATGAGTAGGTGCTGAATGACCAATATGTAAAACTATCAGTTGAGATAAAGAGCCGGTCTATTTATGTCAGGCAACGGCCATGCAATTACTAACTTTTTGCAATCCTCTAACCATGCATTATTCCATGCATTTAAAAACACAAAGGCTCACAGTAATGTGAATTAGGACCATATAAATGTTTCATAAATCAAATTATACCCTAAATTGTGCAACGAAAAAAAAATAAAAATGATGAAAGATCAAAATGCAAAGTTATGCATTGAGTAGATCTCCGTAATAAGGGGCACAGCTCATGATACTTGTGTAATGAAATGAATGTAATGAACTTGTGCAATGAAAATGTCCAGCTCAACATGTACATTGGCACAGAACAACAAAGCACATGAACAAATATGATGTGTTAAGCTTCAAAGAGAAAAAAACTCACTAAAAATATAGAAAGGTTTATAATAGAAAGGCCGTTTGGTTGTAAAGACCAGGAAGTATGGTGAATAAAAAGGCCTGCGTCGACAAATAAGATGCATGAAAAGCATTCGAGGCAAGAAACCTCTTAAACAACCAAAAACTGAATCATTACAACACTGGTATAGTGAGGGAGGAAAATACATTTTCAAGGCAATTTCAAGGCCGTAAAGTAAATAAATGGGACGCGCTTCATTAATATCTCACCATAACAGCTGTTTGGATTAAACAAACAGATATTACTGGCTTCTATTCAAATGGCAATAACATATTTCTGCACTAATTTTCCTTTGCATCTCAAAACAGAGATGGAGAAACTGAACAGAAAAAGCAAACAATGTTTATACCGCTGGAATTTCGAGGTTTAGAACACGTTTATGAGACTTAGTGACTTACGACACTTTTAAAGAAATTAAATGTGGGTTTGGCCACTAATCCCACACCTCATTCTTGATCACAGAAATCAGAAACCCACCCAATGACAACAGCAGGTTTTCAGACTCTCAACACTTCAAATTATGTCATCTTTAGTTTATTGCGATCAGTGTTGGGTGTACTGTAATTTAATTACTTTTCCCTTGAAAATGTAAAGTAAGGGATTACTCTTCATTTATCTGTAATCCAATTACAGTTACTTCTGATACAATTGAGGTAAATACTGTGTATGGATCAATCCGATCTCACAGCGATTCGTTTGCATTTTATGAGGTGTCTAAATATTACGACCGCACTCGTACAACTTCGTATGAATTATTGTAAAATATGTATTCATGAGATCAGACATAAAACAATAGTGGGTTTAACATCAAAATCAATTGTCTGATGCTAAAGTATGTTTTTATAATGTAACCTTCTCCACCTTGGTCAGTTTAAGGATAATTCATGCAATTTTATAGTATTTTTTTGAAAGAATTAAAACAGATTCATGTCTATCCTTGTATTATTCAGCTGATTGAGATTGACATGGGATTTTGAAAGTAATTAGTAATTAAAAGTAATTAGATACTTTTAAGAGAGAGTCATTAGTACAGTAATCTAATTACACTGTTGAAGAGGTAATTAGTAACTAGTAATTCATTACTTTTTTAGAGTAACTTACTCAACATTGATTGCGATAAACACTGTAACTTAAAGCCTGGCACCTTGTTTATTTCATTACATTTTAATTGCTCAACCTGTAAGAAAACCATAAAACTGCGGGATTATCATCCCATAATAATGGGCAATGGAAACAATAAGAGCTTTCATGGTGACCTAGAAGACAGTAAGGACTTCTTGTTTAAAAAAAATAATCAAATAAATAAAAACAGACCTGTATTTCCTCATAGGCCTCGTCGACGGAGGTGACTTGGTGCTGTTCGTGTAAGGCGGGCTCGTCACAGAAGAAGCACACCAAGCTCTTGTCACTCAAGCAGAAGAGCTTGACCTTTTCATGGTCCTTGCATGGGTACGAGTTCCTCTGGGCGTTGAGGATGGCGTCCAGAGGGAAAGCGGCGTACCTCTCCACGATGTTGGAGAGCTTGAGGCTCGGGGACAAAAGCGGATCCGTGAAGGTCCTCCTGCACTCCGGGCAGTCTCGTGTGCTGTGACGCTCCTGTCTGCTCCAGTGCTCAGTGATGCACTTACGACAGAAGTAGTGCTCGCAGCCGAAACTGACTGGGTCTTGATAAATGCTCAGACAAATGGAACACAAGAGCTCGTCCTTCAGACAGCAAGCCATTTGAATCTATGGAGGGGTCGGTCATGCACTGTGCGGGCAGCAGGACGCACTAACCCTGAGCTTATAAACCAGACGGGCTTCCTAAATGAGGTGGTCCTCAACTGAATTGGATTCTAGAAAAGGAAAAGCAGAAACAGAGAGGATTAGCAAGATTCTGCAACAGGTACACCAAGTCTAACATTCGGAAGATCAGGTATAAATGCTGCCCTAAATTATCATGCATTGATGAGCGAATGCAGATAAATCTTCTGAAATTAGACAAGAAAATGTTGATATTCCTTAATTAAAAGGGACTCGCCTGAAAATCTGATTATTTACTGGCCTCATTCTGCAGGATTCAATAGGACCTTATCAAGCCCATTAAAAATATAATTACATTTTCACTTAACAATCGGAAACGATATTCCCAGGCTAATTAAAGACGTTCGTTTCTAAAAGTTTTCTTTTTTTCCGTTTTTGCAGACTGTCACTCAGTCACCATTCACTAAACCAGGATACAAAGGAATCTTGAATGGACGTCCAAATCTGCAGAAAAAATATATAATAATAATAATAATAATAATAATAGCTTGATGATGATGACGGTTCTGAATATGGTTTGCTTTGGAAATCTGTTTCAGGTTGATGTTTTGGTTTCTGGTTTGTTTCATTAGTTATCATCATGTATTGACGGGGACTTGATAAGTTGAGTCTTTTTGATATGCTGAGTTTATTTTTTATTTTCATCCTTTTGTGGAGGGGGCAGGAAATATAAGATATTCTTCATCCTGCCTCCTTTTCATCATGGTTTTATAAATGACATAAATTAGCATGATGAAGTAAGTTAATGGAAATATCCATGAATGAATTAAATAAACATAATCAAATAACAAAAGAACAAAGGAAAATGAAACAATAAATGACTTGATTTAGTCCTGTATTTTTATTTATTTACTTTTATTCTTTTTATTTATTTATTTTTCTATTCTCACATTACATTAATCATATTTGCAGGTTTGGGATTCCATAATTTTGTCAAGAACAAATCAAGTTATTAAAAATATTGCATTTAAAATTCTAAAACTATTCAGAATGACATTTCCACGCTACTGGCTAATTAAAGACATTATTAAACAGGTTAATTTATACAAGTTGTCACTCATTCACCAAACACTTTTTAATAAGACATTTTCAAATGAATTTTTAAGAATATAAACAACTGAAATTATCAAAATCAATCTGCAAATGGTAATGAAACACCTCGAATCGTAACGATAATGTCACACAGATTGCCACCAGACTGAAGATAATCATAATTGGGATGTTATCAAGTCCATTTAAATCAGCGGTATATAAATCAGAAAGCTCCTGTACTCTGTAACGTTACATCATGGCAATTTCACAAAAGTTATGAACATCACTGTTTTGTTTCAAAAAGCAGCTTTTAAACAATTTCTTATCCCTTTTTCAATTTTTTCTTCGTGTTTATCAAAGCCGGCTGCTAAATAATTAGCCAGCTAGCAGGACGTGTAAACAGGTTTTCCATGTATTCAATCCTCTGAAAAAAATGATATTATCAGTTCATTCACTTACCCCAAACGGTCCTGACGCGTTATACACTAGAAACAACCGACTGTCACATAATTAGAAGAACGACTCGTTGTTTTAATTAGACATTTTCATCACGTCAGACCCTTCAAAGCTGAAGCGACCGACCGCACGCGCAGCTCTTCACAATCCCAAAGCTCTAAACTCGCTCCAGAGGCGCACAGCAACGGAACGAACCAACTCCACGCAGGGGGGGGGGCACACAAATAGATGACACGCTAATAAATCTCTCTCTGGAGTCTGGACTTTTACTCGTGCTGTAAGGAAATTACAAAACTTACACATTTTTAATTTGTTTTTTTCACCTGGGCTGGATTCGTGAAGTATAAAGGAAAATGTTTCACGGATGAATGGCGAATCCCTCCCGGTGCTATGATGGTACAGCTCGGCTTCCTCATCACAGGCATATGATAATATCAGGGTGATTGCTCGCACTCTGCTGGCGTGTATTGGACACAAAACACGAATGTGTTTTTAAACAATGAGTTCAAAATAGTATTCAGTTATTTAAATAAATTTTAAAGTCAATCCAAAAAAATTTAAAGCAACTAATTTAGTTTATTGTTACGCAATAATTGTCATAGACCTCAGTGTAACTTGGCAAAAGTGCATTACGATTTTACATAATGACAATAATCTCATGAAGCCTGTTCCAGGGAGATAATAATAATATTGTATAAAGAAGATAGAAGAAGATTACTGCAATTAATGCAAAAGTATGTATACATCATGGAAGAATTTGTCTTGCTTTTAATTCATGTTCCCATGGAAACATTTACATTGAACATAGATATAGAAACAAGTATTTTAAAGCCCAAAGACGACAACAATAAAGATGTAGATCTAAAAAAAAAAATATTATAAATATAAAAGGTGTTCACGCATAAATCACTTTTAGAACGATTGACCGATATAAACAATGACAGCCAATCAGAATCGCTTCAAAGCGGAAGTGTATGTCGAGTATTTACATGCATGGTTCTGTCATCATTTACTTACCTCGTTTCAAACCTGTATGAGTTTCTTTCTTCTTTTCGTATTTTACACAAAATACGATATTTTGAAGAATGCATGTGTAATCTTTGTAAAGAATGCATGTAAAATCTTTTCTAACTTTTTTATATTATTTCTGATATTGTGTGTGTGTGTGAGCGTGCATTATTGTAGGCCATACAAGTGTTGTGCAAAAGGACAGGTCAACTGCCTGACTAAATTATTGTCCTTATTATTGTCAAAGCATGCCAATGTAATTGTGTTTTCACCTTTACTCACGTCACGCACCCACATTTCCCAACACTGGCCTCTCACATCTCACTTCAGAAGCTGACCTTTGACCACCAACCCTCTCGCTGAGTTATTCTGGTGCTCGTGGTTTGACTTGTGCCAAGACGCATTTAACAGCACTGACTGTATCACTAAAAGAAATAAGGATGCCTTCCTCACCTGTCCACACTTTACAGTAAGAACAAGAATTTATGAATCAGCAGTTTACGAGGTTGACCGACATCAATGCAAACCTTGTTTATCTCTCTAGTTTCAGTGTGAAAATCTGAGGTCCTGTGGTTTACATTCATTACTTGCATCTCAGTTGCAGCGCAGTCAGTATCTTCAGTGCAACACACTGTGTGTTCATTATGAAAGCGTGCAGCAAAGTACTATCAGAACTCATTCATAGCTTGCTTTAGATTTAAGAAAAGGCATGCTGTTAATGGTCGGTTTGCTTCCCTGCCTCAAATTGATGTCAGGATTTCCTGTCACAGAGTACAGCACAAACAAGCCATTTCCCACAAACATCTCTTTTTCTGTTGTCTGCTTACTCATAATCATAATGCTGTGGTTTCACAACAGGGATGGATAAGAATGGAGAACACATACTAGAATGACTCACCTTGAGCACCTATAGGCTTTCTGCAAACTGTGTACTTCTAGAAAACAAACTTACAAACTATTTCATTTTGTTTCAACAGTGGCCAATTCATGCATCACAGGAAAAAAAATTATTTCTTTCTGAAAACACACAATTTCATTTCCAATATCCCACAATTTATTATTTATTCTGTGATGGAAAGATGCACTAAACTGAGGGATGCAATCTGTGTAAAAATGGGTATAGATTTAGATTTATGCAAAATGTATCGGAAGTGACATACATTGCCTTAGCGGTCGATCTAAACAGATTTAATCATGCATTACCTGGGAATTTGAACCCATAAACTTGCCGTTGTCAGCAGAATGCTCAACTTCTTGGATTTTCATATTGCAAAACTGAAAGTCTGTCTGTGATGAGGGTAAAACAAGATGCATCAAAAAGTCATTGAAAATAAAACAGAAATATTTATAATAAATGTTTATATATAGTAAAACGTAAATTAATAGCTTAAGCTACAGGCAAATACTGAATTCATTCATATAAATGAACTATTTTAATATTACTTTTTTGAAAAAGGAAATAAATGGGAAAAATATACATATATACACATGATATATACGCATATACACATATATGTATATACACATATGTACACATAATATATAAACAAATGAAGAGTTCAGATGCAAAAGCCTCTAAATGCCATTTGAAATTTTCTTCTTCAATGATGATTTTTATCAAACTTGTATATTTAAGTTCAGTAATTTCACTTAAATAACAATTAATAGGTAATTATCATTGCCGTTTAAGTGAAATTACTGAACTTAAATATACAAGTTTGATAAAAATTATCATTAAAGAAGAAAATTTCAAATGGCATTTAGAGGCTTTTGCATCTGAACTCTTCATATACACATCTATACACATATTCACATAATATATATAAACATGTATATGCATATATATACATATATACAAATATATATACACACACATAAACATACATACACACACATATGTATATACACATATATAAATATATATACACATATATACATATAAACATACACACACACACGTATATACACATACATATATGTTAAAAAACTGTAAGTTAATTTAATAACAATAACAAAATGTCTGTTTATTTTAATGAAAATCATCCCAATATTCCCTAACTGGTTTTCAATGGTGTTACTGTGTCCAAAAGGGCGCGTGTACATTATAATAGAAATACTTACATCATCTGCTCCAATTCTGAAAAAATCACGTGATTACTCAATGAGCTACAGATGAAAACCAGATTTCCTGAACCAGTCCCACAACAAACCGACTGCGGCTTACTGAAGACTTACTCCGAGCAGCTCGCTCTACACTGCAATATTGATGTGGAAGTACAGCATCCATCAAAACAGCATCATCAATAATAAATCAGCTCCTGAAGAGAAACTTCTCTGATTCCTAAAGTCTGTTAACAGCTAATAATATTGATCCCCCACTGGAGGCTGTCCTCCGGCCTCGTATTAAAGAGACTTTCATCTTAAACTGCGTTTTGTGCTGGTGGTCTAACAGCGTCTATGTAATGTTCTAGCAAGGAGAACCACAGTTTGGTCTTGAATACACTGTAGTTTCCACAGTTGCCAGTCTGTGGGGAAGTATATACATTAAAGCAATGTACGTACGCTGAATAAAACATGACCGGGGTTTAGTGGTAGATTATTCCTATATGCAAAACTCTCTAACATAATTGCTAGGTCACCCAAATGATTTTTTAGCCTACATTATTGTCCACCAGGTGAGAAATCTCAAGTATTTTAGAGGTTTTATCAATATCTGTAGCACAAACAACACTGGATGAGTTACACAACTTTTACTTGTTATTGTAATAGATTGCCTATAATAGAAAAAAATAACATAGACAAACAATTATGAATAAAATTGGGTTTTATGTGTATACTGTACATATACAAAATTTTACAATGACAATTTATTTACAACTGTAGAAGCATAAAAAAATAACTATATACATATCTATCATATTTGGCAATATACTTGGCAATGCAATATGTCGAGTCTCTAACAGTTTTGGACAACCTGTGCTGCAACAAAAGTCTCTATTTCTCATTCCTCTCGTGTAATTCCTCCATTCACGGAGTCTTTGCATTATAATGTGGAAAAAACAACATGACAGTAAAACACTTTGTCGGTTTGCAACTGGAGAGGTAGAGAAAATAACCACTGGGTGGCGCTAGATTCATACATCTAAACAAATCTAGATATTATTCATTAAAGGGATAGTTCACCCAAATTTCTTTTTAAAAAAGTTGCTCTAATGAACACAAAAGAAGATATTTTGAAGAATGTGAGTATTCAAATAACTGCTGGTTAAAAAAAAATCCTATGGAAGTCAATGGGGACCAACATTCTTCAGAATATCTTAAATGCCACAGAAACAAAAAAAAACTTTTAGAACATATTGAGGTTGAGAATATGATTGAAGTCTTATTGAGTCAAAAACATTACTAAATAAGTAATAAGTAAAGCTTTATAGCTATGAAACTTTACGTAACACTTTACATGAAGGGGTTTGCATAAGACTGATATGACACCTTCATAATCATGACATGACATATGGAGGGTTTATGCATGTTTGTGACAACTGTCATTAAGTGTCATTCGCTCAATTATGACATTTTGAATGCAAATATGACATTGTTTGAGATGTCTTTGTCACGACAACTTGACATAAAATGAAGTTAATCTGTCATGTGGTTGGCTTTGACATTATAACTGTGTCATGAATATTTTTCGTGACCTCAACTAAAGCGGTACACATTGAATTTGTCATTAAAAAAGTTATAATGGCCCCATGACAGCCAATGTCAAAACCAACCACCTGACAGTTTAATGTAATGTTAAGTTAACCACACTGTAAAAAAAGATTGATTGACTTTAAAAAAGTAAGTAACCTGGTTGCCTTAAAATTTTAAGTTCATTGAACTGGAAAAAGTGAGTTAATACAATGAAGGAGATTAATTTAACCATCAGAAACTCAAAATTATACGTTATCTCAACTAAATAAATTATTTAAGTTGATTTGACAAAAGAAAAAATGTTGTGATTACTACACTGTAAAAAAATATTGTTTGTTTAACTTAAAAAAGTAAGTAACCTGGATTGCCTTAACATTTTAAGTTAATTGAACTGGAAAAAGTGAGTTAATACAATGAAGGAGATTAATTTAACCATCAGAAACTCAAAATAATAAGTTATCTCAGCTAAATAAATTATTATAAAGTTGATTTGACAAAAGAAAATATGTTGTGATATAATGTTTTTTTACAGTGCAATAAAGCTAGCTGGTTTCTTAAGTTTGATCATTAATCTGCTACGTCATGTTTATGACAGGTTGTGTTGTCTTAAGTTGTCATAACAAAGACACTGACAGGTTATGATGTACTGGTTTATGTCAAGACATCTCGAACAATGTCATATTTGCATTAAAAATGTCATAACTGAGCGAATGACACTTAATGACAGTTGTCGCAATGTTTTTTAGTGACTCTATGAAATTAGACACCTTTCATTTTAAATTTGTCCTTAATTTGCTACTTTTCTTGTCAAATTTTATATTCACAAGTGTACATTTCCAAAGAAAACTCCTTCTTTTTTATTTTTAAGAAAGATATTGATATGTATTTAAATACATTGAAGAACTCTACTGCATGTAAGACCGCAATATTGTCGATCATTTAAGCTTGTTTAAGTTTATGGACTGTTGTATTGTGTATTAATGTCTTGATTTGTATTTTGTTATTTCTGCATAAAAAAAACCAGTTGTCACAAACATGCATAAAACTTCCTTCATATTCATAACACATGACATGTCATGATTATATGTACACCCCTTCAAGTAAAGTGTTACTAAATAACTAATTAGTGCAAAAGTTGTAATGTGAGCTTATATAATATATCAAACCTACGTGTTTTACATATCGGCGAACAATGAACCTTTGCTCTAATAAAACATTGGTAGCTAGTCAATCGTTCTCTGAGATTTGTTTTCATGATAATCGAATGTAAAGAGTTTTATCTCTAAAAACTGTTTAGCGTATAATGCTGGTAATGATGGCATTGAGTAAGTAAAAAGAAATCGCTAGTTTATACCACTAACAAGGCTCAAAATAGCCGCACACTAACGCAATAACATAATGAGGCTCCATACATGCAAAACGAAGCATTGAGAACTTTGTAAGTGTACAGACCGTTTAATAAGAAGATACTTTATGAAGACAGTGCACTTCGCGGATACAGACAGGAGCCATCTTAGAAAATAGTCTCGATAAGTCGATCCCCGAACGCCGCTCATACAACTTCATACAGTTCAGATCACTCAGCACGGCGTTCGTGGTTTGACTTATCGAGACTATTTTTTAAGATGGCTCCTGTCTGTATACGCGAAGTGAACTGTCTTCATAAAAGTATCTTCTTATTAAACAGTCTGTACACTTACAAAGTTCTCAATGCTTCGTTTTGCATGTATGGAGCCTCATTATGTTATTGCGTTAGTGTGCGGCTATTTTGAGCCTTGTTAGTGGTATAAACTAGCGATTTCTTCTTACTTACTCAATGCCATCATTACTAGCATTATACGCTAAACAGTTTTTAGAGATAAAACTCTTTACATTCGATTATCATGAAAACAAATCTCAGAGAACGATTGACTAGCTACCAATGTTTTATTAGACCAAAGGTATCATTTAGGGCTGGGTATTGAGACAAATTTCACAATTCGATTCGATTTCGATTCACAGGCTTGCAATTCGATTCGATTCAATATCGATTATTTTGGATATAAGTTACAATAAATGGCAATTTTTCTCATGGAAATCAAATCTCTTAAATGCTGTAAACTATGGTCTATATATATATATATATATAGTCTAGTTGTAGCCTACTAGGCTTCATTAACCTAATATGAAGGTAATAATTAAGTTTTGTAGCTATACAAACACTTAAATTACCTTTTTATTTATTTTTATAATAAGATTATATGAAATATAAACATTTAAATGGTGGCTGTCATAAAAACTTGCCAGATTAATTCTAATATGCATTAAATATTGAAGACTAACGAGTTTATGTGGGTTTTCTGAGGTAAATATGACGATACATTGATTACAAGCTGTTTAACTGACGTCTTTCCACGGTTGAAACGCTGATTGAGTGAATCAATAAGCCATGATCCGGATTTCGATAAGTTGTACTCTATCTTTAACATCTTTCAGATGCTCATTCATGTTTATTTGGCGCTGTGACTGGTATTATTAAGCCGGAAGAGAGATCAGCGCTGCTGCTTCTCCAGAGCGATCTCACGCCACAGCGACAAAACGCTATTTATGTTTTTGAATTTCTAAAGAAAATGGACGTAATTTGAAAATTGAGACTTTGTTTCATATCAATAGTAACAAAGGACAAAGATTATTGCGATTTGTTGGATGCGCGCAGCCGCGATAAAATGTCTCATTCATAAAATGAAACAGGATGACTAATCGATTCTTGAGATTTTAGAATCGATATCGGTTTGTAAAAATGAGAATCGATTAATATCGAGAAATCGATATTTATTACCCAGCCCTTTCGCCGGAGTTCTCCTTTACATAATAACATTTTTTAAAAGATGTAATAAATGTTATTTTTTAAGTCTCGTCTCCATTTTTTCAGTCGGCGTGATGGGTAACACTGGATCAGAAGGTGCACGGGCCGCTCTCCTGCACCGACTGCAGGGCTTCTTTGCCGTCCTCTTGCTGGCAGGACACACACACCTCCTCTTGGGAAAGCGGCACCGGAGCTTCAGCGCGGGGTGTCAGTGCAGATGTGTTCATCGGGATGGAGCAGGACGCTGTCGCCGGGTTCAGATGGCAGTTGAAGGTGGCCGTGATGCTGAGATTGACTAACGGACTGGAGACGGACGGCAGCTCGGGCAGCGACCCCTCCTGACTGGTGCGTTCCAGCCAATCTCCGCTGACGTGACTCTGGCTGGAGTCCGGCTGACTCTGGCTGTCCGATGAAGACATGGACGGCTCCTTCTGGCACCTGTCGGCCGTTAATAGATGCTGACAATCAGGTATGTCGCTCTTTGAGAGATCCTGCTCTACCTGAGGGCGACAAGAGATGAGGAAAAAATGAAATGTATCCCACAATGCAATGCGCTCGATTAGAAATTCCATTTTCAAAACATTGGCTGCATCCAAAATCACATGCTCAGTAAATTATTGCTTTTATTGCGTGTTTCTTGCATGAAGAAGACCAAATCAAATTCCTAGTATCTGTATACATGGTGAATAAAGTTGATATAGTTAGTAGATAAATAGTTAGTAGTAATGCTAATATGCTTATCCTTTATATGTAACAAAACAAGATATGAAGAGTTCAGATGCAAAAGCCTCTAAGTGCCATTTGAAATTTTCTTCTTTAATGATGATTTTTATCAAACTAGTATATTTAAGTTCAGTAATTTCACTTAAATAACAATTAATAGGTAATTATCATTGCCATTTAAGTGAAATTACTGAACTTAAATATACAAGTTTGATAAAAATCATCATTAAAGAAGAAAATTTCAAATGGCATTTAGAGGCTTTTGCATCTGAACTCTTCATATATAGACTTACTGCAGAAAAAGTATTATGATGGTATCCTATTCAGAATAGCATTGATAATAGGCTTGTTGATTGGAGAACCTAAATTTTACCAGAGATGTATAGTAACAAAGTAGAACTACTTAAGTACTTAAATGCTGTATCTGTACTCTACTAGAGTATTGTATTTTTCTCATACTTCTACTTTAACTTTAGTAGATATTTTCGATGAATTTAATCGTTTACTTCGATATTTTTTTAATGTTTTGCTAGTTACTCGTTACAATTATAAAAATTTTACGAATCATTCGTTGCAAGTTGGCTTTAATGCTGCCTAAATCACACGCCAGTTTTATAGGGTAATGGTATTGATTGACACACACATTGACGACTAATGCAGGGGTTGTCCTGCAATGGCCGCCAAAGCAAATTTGTATCCCGCCAAAGCGCCTTATTTGATTGCTAGTTCAAACTTTTGACGATGACACAATACTTGTACTTTTACTTTTAGTACTTAAGTAGTGAATTTGAAAATAAACTACTTGCAATACTTAAGTACAAAAAATGTTGAATACTTTAGTACTTCTACTTAAGTGTGGTGCTTAAAGAGCACTTCAACTTCTACTCAAGTCACTTTTTTGATGGAGCACTTGTACTTTTACTCAAGTCCGGGTTTCTAGTACTTTATACATCTCTGAATTTTACATTAACATTGTGCTGGTAGTAGGGGTGTCACGATTTCGATATTAAATCGAAATCGATCGAAATTAATTCAATGGTATCGAAATCGAAATAAAAAATGGTATCGTCGATACTGCCACGCCCCATGTCGCGTCCGTGATGGAAAGTTCGGATCGTTTTACTGACTCTATTGTTCAATCTCGTTCATTAAAATTAACTAAACTTTTTTTCTAGTCATTTCAGGGGCTTTAAATGTTATACTATTAAGTTATGTTACTTGTTTTTGTTATATTTTAAATTTGGCAATGGTGTAGTGTACATTGTGAACAAATTTATATTGCATAATGCATAAATGTGTAGTCTAAAAATTGCATAGCAATCTGCGCTTTACTTTTTTTTTTTAAATCGAGAATCGAATCGAATCGTGACCTTAGAATCGATAACTTAATCGAATCGAGGATTTGGAGAATCGTGACACCCCTAGCTGGTAGTTTACCTTGTTTGATAGTAAAGCAACACTAAAATAATTGCTTTAAACATACTATTTTCTGTTTAAGTATGCAGTATGCACTTTAAAAATATATGTACCTTTTTGCCCCCTGTGATTGGATCCTTGTGTACACCTGCAGGTTAAAAGAAAGACATCACCAAAAGCATTAAAAAAAGAGACCATGATAATAAAAATAATTAAAAAGCACCGAATGTAAATGTAAAGAGTAGATAACATTTAACTGATCTACCAAATTACTTCCTTGATCTCATCACAATTGAAATGAAAATACCCAGTACCTTTTCTCTTTCGTAACATGCAAGTAATCCCCATCACTGCCAGCGTCAGCAAAAACACAACACCACAAGCAATGACTGCAGAGATAAAGACAAACCACAGAGAAACAATGAAAAGGTGACAGTGACAGAAAGGAAGGAAGGGAAAAAAAAAAAAAAAAAATCAAACATTGTCACAAGCAAGGCATTAAAAAGTCACTCACTAACAGATACAGTTCTTTCTCTCATACGTAGCCCTCAACCCTTAATCCTGTAATTGTGGACAAATGTGGGCACAGACGACTCAGGTGTGATCCTAATTTTTATATGACTGTCTTCAATAAAGTTTTGTCTATCCATTTGTGGTGTTTTATTTTATTTTGGGGGTATTTTTGAATTTATTTACTTCAAAAAGTACCATATTTTCTATGTAAATTATCCTTATTTTTATGTTTTATTTTAAATTTTTTTTAACTACATTAAAATATCATTCCAATAAGTTCTTAGAGCTAAAACCTAAAGATGAAGTGTCACCTGGTGTCTTATTTTGGCTTATTTTAGGTCTCTATGCTCTAAATTACAGTTTTTTTCCCATTCATTTCTATGGGTGCCCATTTTTAAACTAAAATACAAGATAAAGTTTTGTCTATCCATTTATGGTGTTTTATGTTATTTTGGGGGGATTTTTGAATTTATTTACTCCAAAAAGTACCATATTTTCTATGTAAATTATCCTTATTTTTATGTTTTATTTAAAAAAATTTTTTTAACTACATTATAATATCATCCCAATAAGTTCTTAGAGCTAAAACCTAAAGATGAAGTGTCATCTGGTGTCTTATTTTGGCTTATTTTAAAATGCTCTAAATTACAGTTTTTCCCCATTCATTTCTATGGGTGCCCATTTTTGAACTAAAATACAAGATAAAAGTTTTGTCTATCCATTTATGGTGCTTTATTTTATTTTGGGGGTATTTGTGAATTTATTTACTTCAAAAAGTACCATATTTTCTATGTAAATTATCCTTATTTTTATGTTTTATTTAAAAAAATTTTTTAACTACATTAAAATATCATTCCAATAAGTTCTTAGAGCTAAAACCTAAAGATGAAGTGTCACCTGGTGTCTTATTTTGGCTTATTTTAGGTCTCTATGCTCTAAATTACAGTTTTTTTCCCATTCATTTCTATGGGTGCCCATTTTTAAACTAAAATACAAGATAAAGTTTTGTCTATCCATTTATGGTGTTTTATGTTATTTTGGGGGGATTTTTGAATTTATTTACTCCAAAAAGTACCATATTTTCTATGTAAATTATCCTTATTTTTATGTTTTATTTAAAAAATTTTTTTTAACTACATTATAATATCATCCCAATAAGTTCTTAGAGCTAAAACCTAAAGATGAAGCGTCATCTGGTGTCTTATTTTGGCTTATTTTAAAATGCTCTAAATTACAGTTTTTCCCCATTCATTTCTATGGGTGCCCATTTTTGAACTAAAATACAAGATAAAAGTTTTGTCTATCCATTTATGGTGCTTTATTTTATTTTGGGGGGATTTTTGAATTTATTTACTCCAAAAAGTACCATATTTTCTATGTAAATTATCCTTATTTTTATGTTTTATTTAAAAAAAATTTTTTAACTACATTATAATATCATCCCAATAAGTTCTTAGAGCTAAAACCTAAAGATGAAGCGTCATCTGGTGTCTTATTTTGGCTTATTTTAAAATGCTCTAAATTACAGTTTTTCCCCATTCATTTCTATGGGTGCCCATTTTTGAACTAAAATACAAGATAAAAGTTTTGTCTATCCATTTATGGTGCTTTATTTTATTTTGGGGGGATTTTTGAATTTATTTACTCCAAAAAGTACCATATTTTCTATGTAAATTATCCTTATTTTTATGTTTTATTTAAAAAATTTTTTTTAACTACATTAAAATATCATCCCAATAAGTTCTTAGAGCTAAAACCTAAAGATGAAGTGTCATCTGGTGTCTTATTTTGGCTTATTTTAAAATGCTCTAAATTATAGTTTTCCCCCATTCATTTCTATGGGTGCCCATTTTTGAACTAAAATAAAAGATAAAGTTTTGTCTATCCATTTATGGTGTTTTATTTTATTTTGGGGGTATTTGTGAATTTATTTACTTCAAAAAGTACCATATTTTCTATGTAAATTATCCTTATTTTTATGTTTTATTTAAAAAATTTTTTTAACTACATTAAAATATCATTCCAATAAGTTCTTAGAGCTAAAACCTAAAGATGAAGCGTCGTCTGGTGTCTTATTTTGGCTTATTTTAAAATGGTCTAAATTACAGTTCTTCCCCATTCACTTCTATGGGTGCCCATTTTTGAACTAAAATGCAAGATAAAGTTTTGTCTATCCATTTATGGTGTTTTATTTTATTTTGGGGGTATTTTTGAATTTATTTACTTCAAAAAGTACCATATTTTCAATGTAAATTATCCTTATTTTTATGTTTTATTTTTTATTTTTTTTTAACTACATTAAAATATCATCCCAATAAGTTCTTAGAGCTAAAACCTAAAGATGAAGTGACTTTGCCGTCACCTGGTGTCTTATTTTGGCTTATTTTAGGATGCTCTAAATTACAGTTTTTTCCCATTCATTTCTATGGGTGCCCATTTTTGACCCAAATACAAGATTAAGGAGGTTTTTTTTTGTTTTTTTTTACCCACTTAACATTGTATAATTTAGGAAATTAGGAAAAATAGCCAAGTCTTGAACCGCTCATATCAAGGGAAGTATTTTTTAAAAATGAATCAAAACTATTTTAGTCCACAATTGTGTCTTATTGTGTGAGAGCATGCAAATGTATGAGAGTCTGGTGGGACCAGGCTAGTCGATTAGCATTCTGATCCCATGTGTACTTTTATAAGGATTGTAAACTAAATTCGGATGAAATATTTACCAGCGCTGTAGATTAGAATCGAGGTATCCGAGTTTGGGCCGATAGTGGTTCGATTCTCAGGTGTGGTCGGCGTCACGCTGCTCGATGGAAGCAGAGATGGTGTGGTGGTCGTGTTCACGCGCCCCACATTTTCCCTTGGGAAATTCAACGGAGCATGCTTAGATGAAGTCTGAACAGAAACCTGTGTTGTCGTTGTAGTTGACGTAAGTGGTGTCTTTCCACACTGTGCGTCAGTTTTAGAGGTGCCAGGGCTTAAAACTGAACCGCCATAGCATCTAACCGAGACAAAAACAAGACAAATAAGCTGTATGCACTGGTGTACATTTGTAAGTAATGATTATTTCTTTACATTCACATCTTACCGTGTGTGTGGTTGGCAGAACTGAGCATTACTGTGGTTTGAAAACGATCCAGACGGACACGCTTCACACTTGACATCAGCTTTAGGTGATCCTGCATTCACAAACACAAGGATGATGCCACATATTATTGAAACAAATATTCACATGCATCATCAAATGACTATGGCGGATTAATGGATTTCCCATTTTAAGGTGCTATCAGAGATTTCAGGCCCCAAAATAAATAAAAGTGGAGAGAATTAGAAGAATTGAAAAATGTAAAATTGGACGTTGATGTGTGTTAAAAATGTATTTCATCAACAGACATAAATCTGCAATTGCGGCTTTACAGACTCGTATATGGTTATGTACAGTAGCTAGATTATGTTTGCCTCTTACCTTTTCTGGAGATGTATTCACCAGGTTTGCAGGATTGATATTTTTTACATAGATCACATTCAGAAACAGTGTTCACACAGGTCAGTCCAGGCTTGCAAACGCAAACGGTTTGGGAATCAGCGGTGCAGTTCTTATGATAAACCAGTCCTTTCTCTAATAAACACCAACAATTCAATGAGAAATTCAGTTGGGGAAAAAATTAATAAATATTTATATACACAAGTAAATTCAGTGTTTGTGCACACAAAACTGTAATAATACTGTCACAAAGTCAGTTATGTCTATAGTGAAAGTAAACAGTTGAGAGAGAAATCTGATGTGTGTCATTATATTGGATCTGTGCCTATTAAACCTTCTGCTGTCTATATGTCATTAATATAAATCAACTTTATACAGTGAACACTTTTTTCTGTGGTAAAGTACTTAAATTGTGTCATAAATGAAAAGCAAAGTTACATTAGTTTATCAAAAAATGCAATTTATCATTTACACAAATGAATGTGAAGAATAGTCAGAAATTCACTGATAATTTTAACCTCTGTCTGCTCATATTAACCCTCTGATGGTCTTCCTTTATGAGTCACGTAATGGGCCTTCCCGGTCAAAAGTTTTGTTCTATAATATTTATTCTTTTTAATTTAGTATTTTGAGACAATTTGATTGAACTTATTAATATTTATGCAATATGTATGGTCTATTTTGTTCAATGGAAATATATATTTATTTTTCTATATATATATTATTTTTTTAACAAAAATATTAATGCAGTATTTGTGTTTAATATAGAGTCTAGGCCTTCAGAAAAAATTTTTTTTTTGAAGAAAATTAGCACCATCTGGTTACAGTATAGAGAAAAAGCGTAGAATCATGGTGTAACCACTAGATGGCATGTACAGCTCTCTATGGAGAAGCATGTGAATTCCCCAGCTGTTTATGAACACATTTTTTTTTTTTGGTGGATTTGAATATATAATTGAAACAATCTCAAAAACTATTTATTTTTTTAAAAAATTGTAAAAAATAAAAATAAAAATTGTGAATTTTTGTGTTTTTGTAAATTTCCCATTCATTTCCTATGGGTCGGTCATTTCTGACCGAGGACCACGAGTGTGACTATCTTTTTTACGACCACTTAGCATGCTCGGATCATGACCTAAATTTTTTTTTGTATTCACATACCAAATGTCAAAAAAGTCACCAAGTATCATAACCTTCCGATGAAGCTGTGATTTTTAATAATTCAAAACAGAAAATTATTCGGTCAGAAGTGACCGAGGACCATCAGAGGGTTAAAATTACACAGATTATACTTGAAACAGTCATATGGATGGACTAGTTTATGGTGCTTTTTGTCATTTTTGTTGCTTGACAGCCTCTACAGAAAATTAAAGTGTGAAAATGATCTCCATATGTAGTTTATTTAATAAATTAAGAAAATCTTCAATGGCTATGAAGGAAAAGACGAACAGTAAATGATGAAGGAATTCATTTAATGATAAACTGTCCCTTTAAAGATATATTCCAACGAATACTAAAAACAAGTCTTTTGATTCTGGGGTGATTTTATTAAAAAAGTGACTCACCCTCTTTACAATGTCGACAGGAGAAACAATTGAAATTATAGTTAAATCGATCCAAGTACTGTCCATATTCACAGGGCGCACAGATGGTGTCTGAATGCGCAGTGCACTCCACTTCCAGACGTGTCCCTACAGTAAATATCAATATGTTTAGAATATTGTTCTAAACAAAACGAATAAAGTTATGAATACAAATGGTTACACTCGGTCCTATCATGGTAAAAACAGAAACATTTGTAATCTTGTGTTACAACCTACCTGGTTTGCATTTACTGCAGCATATTTTCTTAGTTTTATGGTAATATTCAGTGGTTGGGTTGTCACATTTTTCATTTGAGCTATATGGAAGTGTTTCCTATGAACATAAAGGGACAAAGGCAAAAATATCAGACGGTGACATTTTCCTTGAGTAATCAGGAACTGATACTTGGACATGTCATGTGGCCTGTGAGCGAAACAGTGTGCCTCATTTCCTCCATCAAATCTTTTCTCAAGGACGCCAACGCTGCTGAATCACCATCAAACAATGGTCAGCCACTACTTTGACGCGCACAAACCCGACTATCTAGATGTTTTGACACATGTGGGGTTTTCAATGTGGTTGCTGGTATGTAAATAATAGAAATACAATACAGTTCATTGAAAGGAAAAGGAACAGGCCTATATCCACACACACACTAATCTCCATTAACCCTTTAACCTTCACAGTGAAGAGGTCATGGTCAACTTTATTGACAATTTCTTCACATATACCAGACTAAGAATTCGAAATTGCGTTTCTCACTAAATCAACCCACGGTGAAATATAAATATAAATACTTCAAATAATACAGCAGAGAGAAAACTTCCTGATTTATAGACAGATTGTGCAATATTTCTATATAGAAGAATTAGAAGCAACCCAGATTTTGAAAGTATGTATACGTTGCAAAATGTAGGATATTATACGAATACGCACAGTGGACGCCTATGTGAATGGCCAAATTGGGCCACAGGCAATGGAGAGTAGCTTGTGGTTTTTCTGTCCTATCTTTAAACCAGTAGATTGATATCATGAGAGCTTTGCATGTCTCTCCAGTGGTTTGCTGTCTGAGTGCAGACGGTGTCCAATCAAGTCAAGTATATTTATACAGCGCTATTCACAATATAGATTGCATCAAAGCAGCTTCACAGTATCAATCAGAACATAATAACAATGTTCGTTTCTTAGTGGGAAAACATCCACGTTTGGTAGAGCTGATCAAGGGTATTACTGATTGGGTAATTAATTTGAATAAACCCGACTGAGCAAGCCAAAGGCAACAGTGGCAAGGAACCGAAAAACTCCAGGTGACCTAAAGGTGTCCTAAAACTCCATCAGGCGACCTAAAGGTGTCCTAAAACTCCATCAGGTGACCTAAAGGTGTCCTAAAACTCCATCAGGTGACCTAAAGGTGTCCTAAAACTCCATCAGGCGATCCAATGGTTTTCTTAAAACTCCATCAGGTGACCCAATGGTGTCCTAAAACTCCATCAGGTGACCTAAAGGTGTCCTAAAACTCCATCAGGCGATCCAATGGTTTTCTTAAAACTCCATCAGGTGACCTAAAGGTGTCCTTAAACTCCATCAGGTGACCCAATGGTGTCCTAAAACTCCATCAGGTGACCTAAAGGTGTCCTAAAACTCCATCAGGCGACCCAATGGTGTCCTAAAACTCCATCAGGTGACCTAAAGGTGTCCTAAAACTCCATCAGGCGACCCAATGGTGTCCTAAAACTCCATCAGGTGACCCAATGGTGTCCTAAAACTCCATCAGGTGACCTAAAGGTGTCCTTAAACTCCATCAGGTGACCCAATGGTGTCCTAAAACTCCATCAGGTGACCTAAAGGTGTCCTTAAACTCCATCAGGTGACCCAATGGTGTCCTAAAACTCCATCAGGTGACCTAAAGGTGTCCTAAAACTCCATCAGGCGACCCAATGGTGTCCTAAAACTCCATCAGGTGACCCAATGGTGTCCTAAAACTCCATCAGGTGATCTAATGGTGTCCTAAAACTCCATCAGGTGACCCAATGGTGTCCTAAAACTCCATCAGGTGACCTAAAGGTGTCCTAAAACTCCATCAGGCGACCCAATGGTGTCCTAAAACTCCATCAGGTGACCCAATGGTGTCCTAAAACTCCATCAGGTGATCTAATGGTGTCCTAAAACTCCATCAGGTGACCCAATGGTGTCCTAAAACTCCATCAGGTGATCTAAAGGTGTCCTAAAACTCCATCAGGTGACCCAATGGTGTCCTAAAACTCCATCAGGTGATCTAAAGGTGTCCTAAAACTCCTTCAAGTGACCTAAAGGTGTCCTACAACTCCATCAGGTGACCCAATAGTGTCCTAAAACTCCATCAGGTGATCTAAAGGTGTCCTAAAACTCCATCTAGTGACCCAATGGTGTCCTAAAACTCCATCAAGTGACCTAAAGGTGTCCTAAAACTCCATCAAGTGACCTAAAGGTGTCCTAAAACTCCATCAGGTGACCTAAAGGTGTCCTAAAACTCCATCAGGTGACCTAAAGGTGTCCTAAAACTCCATCAGGTGACCTAAAGGTGTCCTAAAACTCCATCAGGTGACCCAATGGTGTCCTAAAACTCCATCAGGTGACCTAAAGGTGTCCTAAAACTCCATCAGGCGATCCAATGGTTTTCTTAAAACTCCATCAGGTGACCTAAAGGTGTCCTTAAACTCCATCAGGTGACCCAATAGTGTCCTAAAACTCCATCAGGTGATCTAAAGGTGTCCTAAAACTCCATCAGGCGACCTAAAGGTGTCCTAAAACTCCATCAGGCGATCCAATGGTTTTCTTAAAACTCCATCAGGTGACCCAATGGTGTCCTAAAACTCCATCAGGTGACCTAAAGGTGTCCTAAAACTCCATCAGGCGATCCAATGGTTTTCTTAAAACTCCATCAGGTGACCTAATGGTGTCCTAAAACTCCATCAAGTGACCTAAAGGTGTCCTAAAACTCCATCAAGTGACCTAAAGGTGTCCTAAAACTCCATCAGGTGACCCAATGGTGTCCTAAAACTCCATCTAGTGACCCAATGGTGTCCTAAAACTCCATCAGGTGACCTAAAGGTGTCCTAAAACTCCTTCGGGTGACCTAAAGGTGTCCTAAAACTCCATCAATGGAGAAAAAAACCTTGGGAGAGCCCATGCTCAGTCAGGGGTCAGTTCTCCTCTGGCGTTTATGAACTAGACGCTGGATTTAGCTGTGAAGTAGAAATGTATATGAATGTCTCTAAACAGACTTTAAACGTGAATCTGTGATAAACGCTGATGGAGTTCAGATGCACATGAAGAACTGATACAATAGTTTGTGTGTTTGAATATATATGTGTGCAGGTTTGCAATTCCCTACTAAACCATGCCTGAACAAACTACAATGTACAACTCCAAATGATCAACACTGGGAGAGGGGAAGGAAGGTGGAGTAAAGGTGGACAAAAGCAGAAGTGAGATCAGAGGGAAATTACGGTTAACTAGCCAAGTAATAATATACAAATTAGTGATGGAGAAACAATAATGACCAGGAAACTCAGGTCGGGAAACCAGACCAACTGTTCAGTGGAAAAGCAAGGGACTTTTGCAAACCATTGGGAACTTTTTGACTGCTTTAATAGTCAAGCTTGAATTTTTCTGTGTTTTCAAAACCAGCCACACATAAAATATACCAAGAGGTGATTTATAATATCTAACGATAAGTAGAATCTTGGAAGATTGTTTGATATCCACATGAATGAATTCAACAGAGGATATCGAGATCTGAATCAACTGTGAAAAAAATATTATTTTACGCCTAAAGAAAGTTAAGCACCAGTCAGTATATTCACAACAACAGGACATACTTTTGGGGCATAGTATAAGATTATGAATTCTTATGGTGTGTAGGGCTGAACGTTTATGGAAAATAATCAATTTTATGTTTATTTTTTAAGCAATATTGCGATTTAATATGCGATTACTTTAAGTTCTTTAGCTTCTGTATTAGTCGACAAAGACAAGCAATACATCATTATATATAGGGATGGGAATCTTTAGGCAGCTCATGATCCGATCTACTTTTATTTTCTTATTAATTAATTTAAATAAGACTTAAAATATGTATTTGATATGTGTTGAGGACAGTGACCCAACAGGACTTCCCTGCCCAATAGGCAAGTTAAATATAAACAAGTTAAACATAAAATCATCACAAAACACATTTCACATCCAATAATTTCACATCCAGATATTTCCCAGCGTGAACAATCAAATAGCTAAAGATAGATTTAGCATAATCCCCTGTCAAACGATTAATCGCATCCAAAATAAAAGTTTGTGTTTACATAATATATGTGGGTGCACTGTGTATAATTATTTTTTATCTATATATATGAAGAGTTCAAATGCAAAAGCCTCTAAATGCCATTTGAAATTTTCTTCTTTAATGATGATTTTTTATCAAACTTGTATATTTAAGTTCAGTAATTTCACTTAAATAACAATTAATAGGTAATTATCATTGCCATTTAAGTGAAATCACTGAACTTAAATATACAAGCTTGATAAAAATTATCATTCTAGAAGAAAATTTCAAATGGCACTTAGAGGCTTTTGCATCTGAACTCTTCATATATGGGTCAATGACGTGACGCTTGCTTTTTCTGTCCGACTGAACTTTTTACCAATTAATAAACATTAAAATTAATAAAATTATAACATGTATGTCTACCACCTTCCTTATACATATGCCCACTCTTATTTCTTTAAAAATAATTAGTTTATTGGCATTTTCTGCCACCTGAAGTGTGAAAACATCATGTGGGGCGACCGTCCGGCCTTGACTTCTGTTTGGACAACTGGTTTTAAATTAAACTAAAATAATTTAAATATAATTCTTACCCTATTTGGCATAATTTTAAACTTGTTTTCCATTGATTGACAAGTTATGAAACATTTGTACACACATTTCAATCATAATAAACAAACAAATCTTGTCCGAAGATGTTCATTATCTGAAATATCATCTGGGGCGACCATCAAGAAAATACAAATAAGGAACTTATATTCTGATAATCATCTCAAAGAGGATGCTGCATCAGCCAGCCTCATGGTGAGGGTCCCACAGAGACAACTAGCAGGTGAGTTGTCACTCTCATTTTTACAAACAAATCCTCTTTAAAACTGCTGCAGTGTATACGTCACATTTTGATATCATGTGGGGCGACCAACCTAAAACTGTAAATTATAAGTTTTATACGCAAATCTTTATTTTTAAATTTGTAAATTGTAAATTTGTCAGTGATATGTGGTGAGAAGAAGCTAATTTGGGCTCTATAGCTAAGCATTAGCCTGTTATACTTGATTAAACTTGAAAATATCATCTGGGGCGACCAAGCATCATGTGGGGCGACCGCCACTGATTGCTTAAATGATAGAAAACACATATCATGTATTTGTAGTTTCTGTGTGCAAATGTTTACATTCATTATATGCATTTAGTTGTTTTAAATAACTTTTTACATTTCACCACATGATTTCAATAATTTCCCTCCTACTTCAGAGAGAACTAAGCTTACTTCTTTTTGATTATTATGTTTTTTATCAAATAAATGTGTGAATATTAAGCATTTATTCTACTTTTTCCAATTCTTTTTCTAACTCTGTGTATGTTTAAATATACTTTTTTTTCTAGATGGCCCCACTAACAAGCAAAGAAAAGACTGCTCGCTACAGGCAGCGGAAAATGCTGTTCAATGTGTCTGCAGAATGCTGCTATGTTCAACTGTTAAATGAAAATAGTAATGAAAATGCAAACATTGTATGTTTAAGTGATTAATGAAATGAAAATGAAAAAGGAAAATGCTGTTCAATGTTATGTCCAAGCATTTAATGCATTAGTATTGAAGATTTTAATATGATGGTTTTGTGTCAAATGAAATAGTGAGGATACTGTTAATGTTATGAAATGTGTCAAATGAAATGGATATGCTGATTCTTCATAAAATTTCATTAAATATGCTGATTATTCATAAAATTCCATTAAATGTGTTTTAACTATCAAAATCATTGAATAGTCTTAATTGCCTGCTGTTTTTCATCATGTGGGGCGACCATTTGTCATGTGGGGTAACCAACTATATTCAATTCTGCAGTAAATTCAAAAAATAATGTCTGTCCATTTTGGTTGAAATATAATTCATTGGTATAACATCAATAAGTGGATACTATATCTACACATATTAAATCAGTTTTATGGATTATATGAGTAAAATAAATATGTAATTGCTTTATGAGGGTGACACTGCCATTATAGATAAAAATGTATTTAACATCATTTGCAATAAATGAAAGGACACATGAGTATATCTTTCTTAAACAGTTCAATTAATTACTGATACTTCTTAAAATATAACTTATGCAAAGAAAATCTATTAATTATAAGATAAATTACGGTCGCCCCAAATGACTTTTTTAAGGTCATTGCCCTATTCATTTGAGTTTAAAAGCACTAAAATATCTTTGTTTGAAGTTTTCACACACATGCATGTGTAGACTACACTCCACATGTTTAGAAAATAGCCAAATATATTATTATTTCAAGTATTTTAAAAATGGGCCTCTCAAAGGCCTTATACGTCATTGACCCATATACACACATACAAACACATGCATTTATATTTAAGAAATAAAATATTATTTATATATAAAATATTTATAATATAAATTATGAATAAATCTATATACAGTATATACAAAAATATTTATGAAAATATTTCTTAAATATATAAAAGCGCGTTTTTGTGTATTTATATATATATATATATAAAATTATACACAGTGCACGCACATATATTATGCAAACACAAACTTTTATTTTGGATGCGATTAATCAGACCCGTGCTCCTAAAAAGGAAGTTGCAGGAGGATTGTACTTTCTGCCTCAGACCAAAATGCACAGAATGATCTAAGACATGTTGTAATAGGGTTTCACACTCAATTCATGAGGTGGGTTCAAAAATGACTCACTTATATTTTATAACTGGAGAAAAAAAAAAAAAAACGGAGCTGGCACAAGAAACTCAAATCAGAGATGAAAGGACAACATCCACTTCCAAACCAAAAATCAAGCGGGAAATGCACATTCTGAGATTATCATGCAGATTAGACGTTACGAAAAATGACTGCATCATCTCTAAAACCACTGGCGTCCTCTCAGACAAATGGCAAACGCTCAAGAACGCTGAGAGGAAACTGCTGAGGTGTGTTACTGGGAAACGACCCACATATACAGGCCAGACGACTTCCTCCATGCAACAGTGAGCTTTACTGAAGAGCAGAATACGCTCCTCGTAAGTACTGTAAAAGCCAAGGATTGTATGTAAAATGCATGCACGCATTTCTTGTTCAAAAAAGACTTAAACAAAAATCATTCAGTAATGTTTAATATACATGTTTATTATTTCAGCATGCAGTTTATTCTCCCATGACCTGCAGATCAAGAACAGCAAGTGGAACCTGCAGCGTAACTTCTTAAAAAAAGGTTTAAGGCTGATGAACAAGACTTCGTTAGCATGCTCACTTGGTAAAGTACGCGGTTGTGTTCTAGTTAAACTGTGACATACGTGATACGTGAACTCCCCACCCTCTCAATCTACACCACAAGAGCTAGAACTCGGTACGCATCTAATCGCCCCACACCAAAGATGTTGCACACTTGCTTTTGAGATACTCGACGGATAAAAATGCTATCCAACTAGACCAGGCCAGCACACTTATATTTTTTCTCATTAATCACACTATCTAGATCATTTGGGCCTATGGGTTTTGCCCATGTCGCCCAAGATACCTATGATGCTCACGAATGTGGTTCACTAGTTTTCCCCCCAAAATAAAACTAATATGATGCTCAGCACAAGTCACCTAAAAGTGCTGTCTATGTAGGCAGTAATTTGTTTCATTGTGCTCAAATGTGACAAGGTAGGCAGGTCACTGGGTTTTTCCCATGAGCATCATTCCAAAAAATACCGCATCTTGCTGAGTTTTGCGTATGATCATGACCAAAAAATCCAGACTATAGAGTGCTGCTTATAGCCAAGATGCCCAAACTATGTTTTAAGATGCATATGATGCTAAAAATGGGCAGTTCACTAGTTTTGCACATGTTATGCATGTACACTCTAAAAAATGCTGGGTTGTTTTAACCCAACTTTGGGTCAAATATGGACTAACCCAGCCGTTGGGTTAAATTTTTACATTACATTTTTAACCCAACATTTTGGGTTTGTCCATATTTGACCCAAAATTGGGTTAAAACAACCCAGCATTTTTTAGAGTGTAGGCACACTGATGTCTTTTGTTTGGACAAAGACACCCAAAAATGCCGTCTATGTAGGTATAGTGTGCTATCTGGGGTTAGGCACTAGGCAGGTGACACAGCTCATACACACACATACACACTAAAGTGGTGCCCAAGATTCCCGAAATATTGTCTAAGTACACTCTAAAAAATGCTGGGTTGTTTTGACCCAACTTTGGGTCAAATATGGACTAACCCAGCCGTTGGATTAAATTTTAACATTACATTTTTAACCCAACATTTCGGGTTTGTCCATATTTGACCCAAAATTGGGTTAAAACAACCCAGCATTTTTTAGAGTGGGCAGCACACTACATTTCAGATGCATAAAATGCCCAAATAAGAAGTCACAGCATGCGTGTAACTCATTAGTTCACTATGACACCCACAATGTTGTTTACGTAGGTTTTGCGTCCAAACATGCAGCCTAGGTAGACAGCTACTGTGCACGTGATACCCCAAACAGCAGACAGTTCACTATTTGAGACGCAGCCTATAAATTCCAACAGCGAAATAACAAAACATAACTGAAAATTAATATGCCATTCATTTACCATACACATTTAGAATCCGAGAATAACTTCTGTTTTCGTTTAGTGTTTTTCAAAGTATCTTTTCTATCAAAACACACTTGTGAAAGTCATTAGTATAAGAATGAATCATTACATTGTGTCTGTCAGCAACACACACATATAAACCTGCTCGTTACCTTCCCCTCCGCCACGCGCCACACCGCCGTCATTAATAATAACCGAGAGATGAGAATCAACATGATCCTTCAGCGACCCGCGCGACTGAATGCGAACTGACCATCACTCACGCGCTGCGCGTCCCGGAAATGTTGCTCGACAACCCCCCTGAGTGCAACCAGGAAGCGACTGTGTGTGTGTGTGTGTGTGTGTGTGTTAGGTTCACACACAAACACAAGACCTCTGAAATCCACACATGGTCACGAGCTCCTCGTGAACTCAATAAACTATTCAAACCTGGAAACGACGAGTTAGGAAATAAAAGAAAGAAAAAAAAAATATTACGTAAATGAAGAAGAAATAGACAACAGCATTTTTAGGTCACCAAGCTAATTTCATTAAAAGTCCATTCACTCAAATGTTATATTAAATTAGAAAAATGCTAACTAAAAGCATTGTACTGGCTATATAATTATACATTTATTTAGGGTACAAATCCATCAGGTGTAGTTTTAATAGACCGGCAAATTGCGTGTGATAGATTTTTTTTAGGGCTGGGCAACGATTAATCGCAATTAATCGTATCCAAAATAAAAGTTTGTGTTTACATAATAGTGTGTATAATTATTTTGTATATAAAAATTCACACACATGCATGAAATATTTGCATGTATATACTGTAGGCTATATATATTTATACATAATTTACATGAAATATAAATATTAAAAAATGTATATTTTAATAACACATTTTTCTTTAATATATACATGCATGAGTGTGAATTTTTATATACAAAATAATTATACACAGTACACACACACATATATATTTTATTTTGGATGCGATTAATCGTTGCCCAGCCCTAGTTTTTATGTTTTATTATGCTCAAATATGAGGTGCATGTCACTAGGTTTTCGTCTAGCAGCTTGATGAGTTTTGCATTTAGCCTACCAGTGATGACCAAAAAACAGTCTATAGAGTCAAATAAAGATATATTTATTTACTTTATATTAATAAAGCATCAGAACACATTCTTTTACAAAACATTCATGCACACTGCCAAAAAAATAGCAAAACAAACCAAAATTAAAAAAAAGCTGACGTTGTGAATGGTGTATGAAGCATCGTTTTTAAAGTTGTCAGTTAAAGGTTGTAAATGACACGACACAACCTTTAAATCAGCCCAACCAGCCCGACCTCCTACAGAAGTTAAAACAGACACCTTCTTTCCAGAGGAGAGGTCGGGTTTTTTTAGACATGCATATTAAACACCCACGTTGTAGAACAAAACCATGTTTAGAAACACACAGATGAAGTCTCTTGGTTCTCGACCACTCACTTAAACGACGAAACAATTCATGCACATCATCACATTTTAGCTTTATAACACTAGACTTATAGGATATACGTTGTGAAAACTCAAAACACCTCCGTGGGCGTTTTTCTCACCCTGTCTGTCTGTACCTCCTGTGCTCACACTCTTCATACGGTGTCTTCAAGAGGAAAAGTACATTTAAAAAAACAAAAAAAAAAAAATGGATGAATGTAAATTAAGCGTAAAGACCCGTTCACACCAAGATTGATTAAGGGTGACCAACAGTCCTGTTTTCACGTCCTGTCCTGACTGTTTTTTTTATAAAGTGATGAAAATGTCCAGGTTTTCAAAAAACTGCTGGGAAAGATCAGCTCTACAGCAAAACATAGATGGGCAAACAAGGAGGATGAGGAAGAAAAACAGGATAAAGAGGAATAATCTTTTAGTTATTTATTATTTGTATTAGGGCAGTCAAACGATTAATCGCATCCAAAATAAAAGTTTGTGTTTACATAATGTATGTGGGTGCACTGTGTATAATTATTTTATATATATATATATATATATATATATATATATATAAATACACAAAAATGCATGTATATTTAAGAAAAAAATACTATTTATATATGAAATATTTTATATCTATTTAGGGCTGTCAAACAATTAATTGTGATTAATCGCATCCAAAATAAAAGTTTGTGTTTACATAATATATGTGTGTACTGTGTATGATTATTTTGTATATATATATATAAATACACAAAAATGCATGTATATTTAAGACAAAAAATACTATTTATATATGAAATATTTATATCTATATTAGGGTTGTCAAACTATTAATCGCGATTAATCGCATCCAAAATAAAAGTTTGTGTAAACATAATATATGTGGGTGCACTGTGTTTAATTATTTTGTATATATAAATACACACAAATGCATGTATATTTAAGAATTTTTTTTATTTATATATGAAATATTTATATCTATATTAGGGCTGTCAAACGATTAATCGCGATTAATCGCATCCAAAATAAAAGTTTTTGTTTACATAATATATGTGTGTACTGTGTATAATTATTTTGTGTATATAAATACACACACATACATGTATATTTAAGAAAAAAAATACTATTTATATATGAAATATTTATATCTATATTAGGGTTGTCAAACGATTAATCACAATTATGTGTTTACATAATATGTGGGTGCACTGTGTATAATTATTTTGTATATATAAATACACACACATGCATGAATATTTAAGAAAAAAATACTATTTATACAGCCAACAAATACATTTCAAGTCGGGCTGTCAAACGATTAATTCCGAGTAATCGCATCCAAAATAAAAGTTTGTGTTTACATACTATGTGGGTGCACTGTGTATAATTATTTTGTATATATAAATACACACACATGTATGCATATTTAAGAAAAAAATACAATTTATATATGAAATATTTATATCTATTTAGGGCTGTCAAACAATTAATCGCGATTAAATTTTATATATATATATATATATATATATATAAATACACACCAATGCATGTATATTTAAGAAAAAATATATAATTTATATATAAAATATTTATATGTATATATAATACATATAAATCTATATACAGTATATACATGAAAATGTTTCTTAAATATATATATACAAGCATGTGTGTGTATTTATATATATAAAATAATTATACACAGTGCACCCACATATATTATGTGAAACTTTTATTTTGGATGCGATTAATCGTGATTAATAGTTTGACAGCCCTATTTTATAGTTATCTCATCATCCTTGGTGTGAACGACCTTTAATCATCTTCTTGATGTGCAAAAATGCAAAACTCGTTACGTTGCGCTTTACATCTGGAACATTCGCGCATTCTGCAATCGACTCTCAGTTCAATCAAGGTAGCCTAACCAATACATTGTCAGCATGCGTGTTTCTCGAGAAGAGAAAGCATCATGCCACGATCTACCAGGAATATTACACCAGGCCACTTGTGAGTTTCAGCCTTGTGATTCAACATGGGACCTTGTTGAAGGCTATTCTGAAGTTCACGCAAGAAACCACATGTTCAAGTTCTCACTTTCCAGTTGCTGGCACAGGAAAACTCAAGCTCAGTTCCTCCTCGGCCTCCTCCTGTGCACTCATAGTTATTCTGACCTCCTGTGAGGGGGGGTTCGACTCTTGCTGTGGCGCGCTGATAAGAGGAAGAGCTTCGTCGCCAACTCCTGCCTCTTCCTTTTTATCGCCCGAGTTGGAGCCTAAAATCACTGTTCCAGGAGAGTAGATGTAGATGGAGCCTAAAATAGACAAATGATGATGAAGTCAACACAACTTTTAAACTAAAAATCAAAACAGGTCTTATCTATACCCTATAAATGCAAAAAATGCATCAAACTTATACTGCCAAAATCATAAATATGTATATGTATGGCTTTGAGAAACACAGACTGGGAAGAGAGGTGCAACAAGCTGCAACAATATTAAATACGTGAATAAATAAGGTGTTTTTTGAACATTTTGAGCATGTTATGGCCCAAAACCGTTTTCTATCAACTCCAACAGGAGCGGGGAACAGCTAAAAGGAAATCCAAAACAAACAATAAAGTTGTAAAAGAAAAAAGTCCCCACATAACAGGAAATGAAAATGGAATTTAGAGAATAATGGACTTGCAGATAAAGCACAAGGAAACATGAGGTGTATCTGATTGTGCCCTAAAGGACACAAGTTACTTACACACCACATAACCAGCCTAAACATTCAAGCTCCAGCCATCTAAAGTGACACGTCGGTCGTTACAAAACAAAAAAGAAATACTACATGGAAATAATTGCAACAGTTTCTGGTTCCCCAAAAACGAGTTGTCAACATTTCCTCATCAGACTCTGTATCATCATCAAAAAAAAAGGTCTTTTGCCTATATGTGTGTGTGTGTGTGTATATATATATAGATATATACTGTATGAAGAGTTCAGATGCAAAAGCCTCTAAGTGCCATTTGAAATTTTCCTTTAGAATGATAATTTTTATCAAGCTTGTATATTTAAGTTCAGTGATTTCACTTAAATGGCAATGATAATTACCTATTAATTGTTATTTAAGTGAAATTACTGAACTTAAATATACAAGCTTGATAAAAATCATCATTAAAGAAGAAAATTTCAAATGGCATTTAGAGGCTTTTGCATCTGAACTCTTCATATATATATATATATATATGACACACACACACACACATAATGTACTAAACATTTATGTTTGTTAGATGTGATTAATCAATTTGACAGCACTAATACAATCACTTGATTTTTATATTAGGAAGCAAAACTCAATAAAAGACTTACTGGATCTGATTTACATGTACACATTTAGAAGATGCCTTTGTCCAAAGCCAATTACAAGAGAGGAACAAAGCAATTTGTCGAGGAGGAGCTAACAAATACATTTCAAGTCGGGCTGTTAATCGATTAATCGCGATTAATCGCATCCAAAATAAAAGTTTGTGTTTACATAATATATGTGGGTGCACTGTGTATAATTATTTTGTATATATGAATACACACACATGCTTGTATATATTTAAGAAATATTTTCATATATAGATTTATATTTTAATTTATATTTTATATATATATTTTTCTTAAATATACATGCATGTGTGTGTATTTATAATTATACACAATGCACACACATATATTATGTAAACAAACACAAACTTTTATTTTGGATCCGATTAATCACGATTAATCACATCCAAAATAAAAGTTTGTGTTTACATAATATATGTGTGTGCATTGTGTATAATTATTTTGTATATATGAATACACACACATGCTTGTATATATTTAAGAAATATTTTCATATATAGATTTATATTTTAATTTATATTTTATATATAAATAATATTTTTTTCTTAAATATACATGCATGTGTGAGTATTTATAATTATACACAATGCACACACATATATTATGTAAACACAAACTTTTATTTTGGATCCGATTAATCGCGATTAATCGTTTGACACCCCTAGTTTTGTGTTTTGCAGTGTCCACATGACACATGCACTACACTCCAGATCTGAGTGAGCAAGAGACTGAACACTTTTCTTCCTCTGATGTACATTTTTGTTTAATCATGACAGCATTTTTATACACAAAGATCCTGTACAATTAGTTCCAATGCAATGCAAAGGCAAATTGGACACAAGGACTCACCTACAGTGTTGCTGACGTTCTCACCCTTCCCATTGTGCTTCACTGTGACCTGCTGCACACCACTAGATTGGGGTGCCACCCCCATACTCTGACCTTTGACCTGTCCGACATCACTGCCGAGCGGTCTCTCAGAGTCCATGCTGTGATCTGTTGAGGTGTCGGACTGGGAATTGGACAAAATGTGGTGGTCACCTGCTTTCTGTCTCCAGTGCTGCTGTTCTTCCTACAGTGACCGTAAAACAAAATTAAAGGGGAATTTTCACTTTTAAGAGGACCTTTTATGCCTTTTTTACATTTCTTTAGTGTGTAATGCTGCGGTTTGACGTCTGCAATTTTACAAAGCACAACATTTGTTCTCTATATCAGTGTCAGTGTTTCTGAACTCCCTGAAACGCTCCATTGTAGTCTAGACGTCACAATATTCCTCATTTAAATAATTCCCGCCCAATGCATATGCAAAGTAAAGGGGCGGGGCCTGGTTGAGTTAGTTAGTAGTGCTGAATTCATAACCGCACACTAGCATACTACTCTTGCTATTTCTGAGATGGAAAGATATGGTAAAAGTAATACTAGTATGATTCAGCAATGGTTATGGCAATTGGGCCAGCCGACCAATCAGAGCACATTGTGCTTTTCAGAAGGAGGGGCTTCATAAAGACTTCAGTTAAAGGGATAGTTCACTTTGAAATTAATTTTTGATATGTTTTATCTTACCTCAAGGGCATCCAAGATTTAAGCGTCTTTGTTTCCACAGTATTTTCAACTTTGATATTTTTGGGTCAAACCGTTCATATAATGGAGGTCTATGGTCACCACCTCAAAGAGCATGCACAGAGAAGACAAATTAAACATGATTTAATGACTCGTAAATGTAAGTACACATTGATGGCCTAAGTTTGTGTGAGAAAACAAACTTGGAAATTAATTTTGGACTTCTCTGTGCTGCTCTTTGAGGTGGTGACCATAGACCTCCATTATATGACTGACAAACAAGAACGGTTTGACCTAAAAATATCAAAAAATTAAAATTCTGTGGAAACAAAGACACCTACATCTCGGATGCCCTTGAGGTAAGATAAAACATACCAAAGTGAACTATCCCTTTAATGAGAAGAGCTACAACACTATCAAATATGGGGGGGAAAAATAGTGTGTTTTTTGAACATTCAAGCGTAAACCTATTCCAGTAGAGCCCAAAAACAAGACTTTGTAAAAGTGCATAGTAGGTCCTCTTTTGAACAAATTGCATTTTAAAGTGAAAAAGTACTTACATGTTCTCCATGTATTAAACCTAAAATGAAAAAAGAAATAAGTAAATACGCTGTGTGTGTCAGACAGAGAGAGCAGCTCGTGTAGGTGCGCGGGGACAGTGTGAAATGTATGTTTCGTGCATATAGGCGTTCTGTGGTTTCTCAGGTTGCCACCGATGTGTTGAATGCATGTCATTTTGAAACACTCTGAATATATATATGTTGAGTGTGACCTTATGGGAATTAAAGCACGTGAGATTGAGAGTGCAATTGGCTTTACAGTAAAAAGTGATCAGGGTGGATTCCAGGCCTATTATAGATGCTACACTGCACTTTAGACACTTTATGACAATAAAATGGGTTTAGATTTCATTATTTGGAAATTACTGCTGACAAACACAGTCTCACTGCATGGTTGTGTTATTTGTATTGATTTGTAGCCTGTTGCTTGCTTAAGTATTTAGAAGATCCAATGCTTTATAGCATACCGAAGCATTTGGAAAGGGTTTTCAGGGCCTTGCCTTTCATCAGCATACAAAACCCAGTCATGAACAAGAGCATCAAGAGTAAGATTAACAGCAGCAGCCAACTGGACTGGCTTTCTTTTGGGTCGGCGTCTCTCTGTTGTCGATTGCCCTCTGGTGATGACAAAGAGTAACACAGTGTCATTTCACTCAACAATGCTATGTTTTTTATACAACAAAATAAATTGATTTGATTGGACTAACACTATTGGATTATTCATATATATATATATATATATATAGATGCAATATTTTTAACAGATTTATAGATTAAATTAACTAGTTTTCTTTCAGCCGAAATCATCACTTTTCGAGTTATTTTCCTGTTATCACTATAAAGCTGCTTTGAAACATCTGTACTGTATTAATGCGCTATATAAATAAAAGTGACTTGACTTGACTATTAGTTTTTCTAACAAAACGTAATTAATTTTTATCCTTAAAATGACAAAAAAAAAAAAAAAGTCCAGGTTCCATTTCACCCTAAACTGAAGAAACAAAATTATAATTTTTTTTAATTAAGGCTTTTTATTTATTTTAATCACAGCTCAGCATACTTTCCCCAAAACTTATCATTACAATAAAGAATTTTTCATTTTTGAGTCCGTGATTATTATGGTGATTCTCATTACTGTGATACAATGATTTTATTTATTATTTAAATAAAAAATACTACCATATTATTAAAAAAAAATACTTTTTTTTTGCATTAGCGTAATACATTCATGCATTTTAATGAAAATAATGCCACAAAAACTAAAAGGTCTTAAAGTAGGCTTCATTTTCTTTATGCAAAATTGATTCATTTTAAATTCTAGGTAATATGACTATGCTATATGCTATATTATTTACAGGTTTAATTAATTAAATCTGGTTACTAGCTTGTCTCCGCCACACACACAAAATGTATATATATATATATATATATATATGTATATCACAATTATAAACTTTTTTTCCTCAGATTTGCAAGTTTATATTTCGCAATTCTGCAAGTAAAAAAATTAACTTAATATTTAAATATTTTATACATTACATTCCAAAAAGACATGTATATACACTCAACACATCCCAACAGTACCTGTCCTCGGCGTGGGAGTTGTCTCGGAAGAGATGGTAGTAATGATAATGGGGGAGGTAGATGATGCGGCCATCTTTGTTGTGGCATTCACGCCCTCTGTGTCCTGTGTTGATGTGCCCTCTGTGCCCAAGCTTCTTTTCACTGTAAGATTAAATATTTTAGACATGCCGTTCCATAAAGATATGATTGTGTAAACAACACATCCCAACAGTACCTGTCCTCGGCGTGGGAGTTGTCTCGGAAGAGATGGTCGTAATGATAACGGAGGCGGTAGATGATGCGGCCATCTTTGTTGTGGCATTCACGCCCTCTCTGTCTTGTGTTGATGTGCCCTCTGTGCCCAAGCTTCTTTTCACTGTAAGATTAAATATTTTAGATATGCCGTTCCATAAAGATATGATTGTGTAAACAACACATCCCAACAGTACCTGTCCTCGGCGTGGGAATTGTCTCGGAAGAGATGGTAGTAATGATAACGGAGGCGGTAGATGATGCTGCCATTTTTGTTGTGGCATACACACACTCTCTGTCTCGTGTCGCTGTGCCCTCTTTGAGCGTTATCATTCCCAACTGAGCACAACTGTGGAAAAGGACACAGAGAGAATGCATGAGACAAGAGCGGCTCATGTGTGTTTGTAAGACAGCACTGGTTTAACATTCCTCAGATATTTGCACATATTATGTTTACTTTTGTTAACCTTAACCTTCCCAGAATTCTAAATGTAACCATCAGAGCTTACATCACTCTAATTTGCATATTGAATTGTGATTGGTCTTGTCATCCTTGCATATCACATGGGCTGTGTGTTGATTCTCATTCACACATAAATGGTAAAAAGTCTCTGATGTGGTACTTTACAGTTACAATAAACCATATACTGTAGTATAACAGACCGAATGCTGAAGTTGCGTTGAAGCCGAGATATAAAATGTGTGAGAGAGATCGAGAAAGTGAGTGAGAAAAAAAAAACAGAGATAGAGATGCATTGTATGAATCACACTTTTACACAGAGAATGTCTATTAAAAAGTCTGAGTATTTCAGTCCCATAAAATATGTTGCTAATTTAATGAAGGTCAAAACAGCCCATCAACAAGATATTCTGGCCTCTGTTTAACTTTGGATTGACTAAATATTTTGTATAATGTATTGTGGCAACCTGGCATGGTGGGTCTAATATGTATGACTGTAACTCACTCTTTATGAGGCTTGCAGGCTGGGTCCAGAGAGGGTTTGCTGGAGAACGTGCCCGTCTCACAGGGAACACATGGTTTATGGCAGTATGTGCTATAATTGTTGCCTTCCTTACAGTAAAAACCTGGTTTGCAGGCGCAGTTGCGATTGCTTTCCTGAGTGCACGGAGTAACTTCCACCTGGTTTTTAGCCTCTGTTTCCACCCAAAATATACAAGGACATACAGAGCTGTCAATGACAATAATTCTACTAAAACATCCAAAAATCTTTTTTTTAAATTAAATTATAATGAAAATCTTTCAATTTGAAGTGTACTTTTCACATTAAAGGAGTAGTTGACTTTTCAAAAAACTTAATTGCTGATAATTTACTCGCCCCCATGTCATCCAAGATGTGCACGTCTTTCTTTCTTCAGTCGAAAAGAAATTAAGGTTTTTGATGAAAACATTCATCATATAATGGACTTCAATGGGGTCCAAAAGACAGTTATAGTGCAAACTGCGAACTGTTCAAAGGGCTTTAAACGATTCCAGATGATGAATAAGTGTCTTATCAAGCGAAACGATCGCTCGTTTTAAAAAATAATAACAAAGTTTAAGTTTTATAAGCTCAAATGATTTTTTTTTGCTTTGCTCTGTGACTCTCCTATTCAAACTCATTAATCAAAATGAACAAATCTTTTTCTAAATGAACGAATTGACTCGGGAATGAACGTTTTGATGAACGAGTTTGAACAGGAGAGTCACGAACAGAGCAAGGCGACCATTTGAGCTTATAAAACTTAAACTTTGTTTTTTTTTTTTTTTTTAAATGAGTGATCGTTTCGCTTGATAAGACCCTTATTCATCGTCTTGAATCGTTTAAAGCCCTTTGAACAGTTCGCAGTTTGCACTGAAAGTGTCTTTTGGACCTTGAACCGTTTGGACCCCATTGAAGTCCATTATATGGAGAAAAATCCTGGAATGTTTTCATCAAAAACCTTCATTTCTTTTCGACTGAAGAAAGAAAGACGTGGACATCTCGGATGACACGGGGGTGAGTAAATTATCAGCAAAAGTTTTTTTTTAAAAGTGAACTACTCCTTTAAGATTATCAAGGGTCAAGACTTTTTGTATGCAAAAAAACAATTAAATAATGACTTTATTCAACTATTAATCCTTCTCTGTGGGGCTCGAGTGAGTTCACGTAACAGTGCAGCACTTCTGTGTTATACATGACGTCACACACATGACCAGCGTCGGCCAATAGCGAGCCTACATGTGACGTACGTACATCACAGAAGTGCTGCGCTCCACTCGAGTATTACAATTTTAATAACTTTTCCGAGCCGGCAGGTTTCAATCCCTATGGAGGAGTGATCCAGCTCTCAGATTTAATCAAAAATATCTTCATTTGTGTTCCAAAGAAAGTCTTACGGGGTTGAAACAACATGAGGGAGAGTGATTCATTAAAAGAATAACACATTTTTGGGAGAACTAACCCTTTAACCCATTAAAACCGGATCGCGCATCTGTGCGTAGTGACCTTTAGGCCCGGCAAATGCGTCTGCATCATTTTGAGCGGTGTCAGCCATGTTTTTATCTGATATTGAGTCTGAGAAATGAAGATTTTAGTAGGCTTTGACAAATTTTGACAAATATTTCTGGAAACCTTAAGGTTTTGGGAGGGGGTTTTCAGAATAGCAGGCGTTTTAGGCCTAAATAGGTTAACTGATGGCGAAACCAGTCCAATCCAAACATCCTTAGTGACATGACAACAAACAAAATAAAACGATGCAGAGGGAGTAATTACACATTGCTTAAAAATAATGACACGTAATGATGAGTCACACACAGTAAGACCAGGAGTGTGTGTAAGGAAACAAGTAAATAAAGGATGACTTTAATACAGAGTTATGTTTGCCCTTTCAAAAGCATACTTGCTAGGAAATGTTATGCAATCACTAACCAGAACACACTGGTGTGCAGTATTGACATGTCAGGATTCCCATTCTGGATTTCCGGTAACAATTGCTGTTACACTCACAGTCGCGTTTGTTATTATAACCTACGTGGGAAACAGAAATCAAAATTAATCTAGATGAGATATCGCTCTGCTGGATGTGCAGGAGGAAAAGCATTCATGCAGCATGATTACAAGAGTTTTGAATTGACTGGTAGCCGGTTTCAAATACACACACTCATACACAAATTACACACACAGACATTCTGAAACTTGAGGGAAAAGCATTCAGTTGAAGCATTAGTCAATTCGCATAAGTCAAGGCTTTATTGTGCGACAGACGGTGCAAGCTTTTGGTCAATCTAAAAACACGAAAGATGATGTTTTCTAACGCCGGTTAGGGACAGATTGATTGTTTTAAACCACCCATCCACATTTACATGTTGACTGGCAGCATGACACTTGATTTTTCAATTTCACAAGGAAACACGTGTTGCAAAACATTATGACTGGATGGTTTCAATGTGATTTCTAAGGTGTTTAGAGTCCGTTAGTTTTTAGATAACTCTGGGTTCGTTTTTGTCCACTTCGGCAGGCAAAAAAGTGTGGCCGCTTAAAGCGATGCTTGCCTCAAAATGCATGAAACGTATGCATGCAATACAAAATTAGATGAAGCTAAATGAAATGGTTGAGCAAGTAACCGCTGTTATTTCTATAAAAGGACATAAGGTCAGGGTGTTTAATGTCTGTGTCATTTTTTTCAGACATTACACATAAAGGGTAATGGCTACAGAGGGTTGTGGTACTTATTTTTAGGTTGTTTTTTTTTTTATTGCACAATTGGAAAAAGATTATTCAGATTATTATTCTTTTATGAACTATTCTCTGAAAAGTTTTTTGGGGGAACTTTAAACTTGGTTTAAATGTTTAAATGCCATTTACGTCAGTCTCAGAGTTCATAGGAAAGGCTCTTTTGTTTCCCACACTCTTTATAGTGGCTAGATTATAATCTAAAGACAACTAATGAGTGAGAAATGGACTGAGATCAGTATATATAGGCCGACTGTGGACTGTACTTCAGAAATTTGACTTATTCACTTATTCATATGTGATTTTCAGGGCCGATGCCGATACCGATTATTACAGATCAAATTGACCGATAACCGATATTTTGAAGCTATATATATATATATATATATATTATAGCCTATGTCTGGTGTAAAACTGTGAATTAATGTCAAAATTAAGATAATTCAAAATAAAATGGCTGATACCGATAACCATAAAAATGCTTAATAATCGATAATCGGCCGATAATCGGTCGACCCCTACTCAGGACATGAAAGATGCTAAAGATGTATAAAATGGTATAAACTTACCATTGGGACATTTAGTTGGACAGCTGGCGTGCATACATGGAAAAATCTGTTAAATAAAAACAAATAAAACAGATTTGTACATGAATACTATGAATGCTAATCCTAAATATTGGCTACTTATATCAGGTTAAATCTCTTTGGCCTTTAAATCTGTATTCTGTTGATCATTAAACCAGATGTAGTAAACTAAAGGCTTACTACTATGTTTAAACTTGAGTGTAAATGCGCAGTCGTAACAAAGGTGATGACAGCAAACAAGCCTCTATGATCACATCAGGCAAAAAAAGAAAAACAGAAAAAGAAGGTATGGTTACACTGCAGATATAGTGAATGATAACATGTCCTTTTGAAAGGAAGTAAAGGTTAAAAAACACAGATGTTTTTACTTCTTCTTTTGACTAGGTTTAAGATAGTGTGACATTAAATAAAGGATTCAGAGAAAAGTGCATGAACTTAGCATTATTAAATTTACTAGGAAGGGTGTGCATTGAGTCATTTGATGACAAGAAATGATTGTTTTGTAGGTTCATCAACTTGCTTGACAGCCTTTATTGCTTTAATTGCAGATGCTTTTAAGTGTTTTAGTTAGAAATCTATCATCGGATGTAAGCAAATGAGCTGACAAGATGAGTCGGAGACTGACATCTGATTTAATTCATTTATAAACAAGTGTGTCGCCCTATCACAGAGTGAAAACAGTCCAGGAAATTCTAGGAATAATGCCACTAGTTCTAGAGAAAGTGCCTTTGAAGGACAATCGATGGGATTGTGGATCTGGATGTTTACATAAATTCACATGTGCATGTACCGCCCGAGAAAGGGGTCAGATAAGAGAAAGGTCACAAAATGGAAATTTCTCAACCCACTGAAAAATTCTTATCAGGTTTTCTTTATGACCTGGTCACTGGAGAAAACCACACAAAATGTACAGGGTAACAACAAGGTATTAAAAGAGGGCCAAGAGACACGGCTTCATTCATGCTGTGAGTGGGTGGGTTGGTTTTGCATAGGGGATCCCTGCTTATCAAACCAACCAAACTTAAAGTTTAATATATCCAGGGTTCACCTCACTGATCTCTGATCTGTTTAAAAGATCATCTTGCATGTTATTTTATCTTGTTAATATATTGAGGTAGATCAAAGCTCTCCATCGGTATCTGAGGGCAGAAATGACTAGGTACAGATTAAGATTACCAGTAATTGAAATGGTTTCTTGCCCTTTTACTAAAATGACTAGAAAATTCTTTAGTGACTCAATTTTGAAGTGCACTTGCTTGTTTAAAGACTCCCTAAGGGTCAGTGTGCTGGGACTGAGAAACAGTGTTTTGTATTCAGTGCCTCTTGGTTGAAACTCGTTCAATATATATCTTAGCCAACTTAGTGTGAATATTTAATAAAAAATCAACTGTTTTAGGCTGCATGCAAAACTTTTAACTAATTATTAAATGTCAGTTAGTCTGTGTCTCAAAACCTAGTGGCTTTCCAGACGCATTTTATTTGAACAATCGGTTCTTTGTAAAACTCCCTCATCTTAATAGGAACCGTTTAGACTGAATATGGTTGTTTTAAAGTTATATATGCTTTCCCATTTATTTTCTGAAGTCAACCAGAGAATTGAAAACACTGTGGAAATAGATTTACTTCTGTGGTATCAAATTTTAATTTTGGCGCTAGTTGGAACCTTTATTTTGAAGCTCACCTCAGAGTTATGATTTCTTCTAAACCAACGATAATAAAAGTCTCATTTGGGGAGGAGGGAAACTCCCGTAATAAAATAAAATTATTGAAAAAAAAAAAAATATATATATATAATCGAAAGTAGAAAGAAAAGAAACTCACCAGATAAAACAGCAGAATAAAAGTGCTTCTAGTTGAGGTAGATGGTGTCATGATGACCAGCAGATTCAGAGTCTGAGCGCTGCACTAAATGTCATTCAGTTTAATTCCTTTATATTTGGAGCGTGGAGAGCATCAGACCAATCACAGCGAGGAGGAGGAACTGTTGTACTCATAGATAGACGGCATATTATTTTATGTACAAGTTTTTTATTATGTGTGTGTATGCCTTCCATATTCATTAAGATTAATTCAATAACTTTATTTTACAGTCCTGTTCCCCATATAAATTCTATGTACTTCTAGGTTCAACTGACCCTGAACCTACTCCTAAACCTAACTTTATATTTCCCCCAGTAATTTTACAAATTAGTGCATGTACTGTAAAATAAAGTGCAACCTCAGTAATCATATAGTAACGTGTTTAAGTATCAATTGTATAGTCAAATTCTGCATGCATTAGCAACATTTAGTAAATAATAAATGTTGTAATGTGCAGTTAAGCTTTGCCAAATGTATAGTTTATTCAGTGAATATAAAGTGAATTTATGTAACTTAGTAATGTGCATAATTTACCATAACACATTTGAGTATTTACAACATGCATAGCTCACTTCAGCGAACATTAATAGACTCACCGATTGAAAACCATTTCATTTCAAAACCATTTCATTTCTTTATTTGAAATTTAAAAACAAAACAAGCGAACATCACCAAGGGTAGAAGTGATACACTGAAATGATTTATGGTTTTCATTATTACACATACAAAAAAGCAACTTGTTCACAAGCACTCGTTTCGGTATATCCAGGAAATCCACTGGACGCAAACACATTCATGCGTTGCTCCTTTTTGAATGCAACTTTGCAGAGACGTCAGTAAAGTGCGTAAGAACGGCTGTGGGGTTCTGGCCTCTTTGGGTCTAAATGCTGAAAGGCATATCGAGGCAAACGAGACACGTTTTGAAGCTGGTCATCCTGGTGTCTTGATGCAGAGGGCAGGGATGAATCCTAAAAATATGATTAAAAGTGATTTAAAGTTAGCAAAAATATTGAGCTGACACAGACAAAGCCATGTTATTCTTAATCCTTGTAGTTTTTTGCACACTAACATGCATATGCAAATGAGATATTTTAAGATTCATAGGAACAAACATTACAGATTTGACACAAAAAATTCCCAATGATTTTAGTCAAATGTAAAAAACAAATGCAAAAACATTTTTAGTCATTGGCCATTCAAAGGAAAACAGTCAGATCTCTAAATACGGTGAGATGGTTTTTTTTTTCTTTCAGGATTTCCCAGGAAACTACATTAGATATCATCATCTCTGTCTGTTAACAGACTGTAAAGCACACATTTACATTTAGTCATTTAGCAGACGCTTTTATCCAAAGCGACTTACAACAAGTAAACTTGATATGGATTATCTGATTTGCATGATACATGATGAATATAAAACGGTTGTAGCCATTAAAGCAGTTGCATTATGAAACAGACATTAACAGTAAGATAAAATACGTATGATCAACACTACTGTTTTCATATAAAGTGATATTGAAATGCCATTAATAATTAACAACTATTAATATGTAGTATCTGCAATGGTCTCTTAACACCTGGACTGTGCTCCCTATAATGTCTCACCAGTTTATGGTCAAGCCAGGATGAGGATGAGCCTCTCGAGGCCGCATGTTTGGCCATTGAGCCCCGCAGATCCAGACTGCTCATCTGAGAGCCAGAGCTCAGGGTGGGGTTGGACCACCCGGACAAACAGTGCTGGAAAATTCATATGTGCATGAGAATAAATAGTTAGCAGAGGTTCATAAGCATCATAATGATGTGTCATTGTGATACAAAAATGATCAATCATGATGTGAATCATCCATTAATAAAGCTGACAGGCACATCTCAAAAGCCAAATATTAATCATACAATAGCTTTGGTTGATACCTGTAAAAATGTTTTGAAACTTTATCTTTTTAAATGTTTTTGAAAGAAGTCTTTTATCTTCACCAAGGCTGCAATTATTTAAACAAAAACACAGAATATTACTATATTAATTAAGAGAACTGTTTTCTATTTTAATAGATTTAAAAATGTAATTTATTCCTGTGATCAAAGACGAATTTATCATCATTCCTCCAGCCTTCAGTCACATGATCCTTCAGAAATCACTCTAATATGACGATTTTAAGTTTTTTTTACGGCTTCTCATTTTTGTGGAAACAATGATTCTGTTTAAACATTTGTGGTAAGATTAAAAAAAAAAAAAAATTATACTTTACTTTTATTCCCTGTCAATTAATTTAATTGATCAAAAAGACAGTGAAGACATCTATGTCTTCATAGAAGACATGAATGAATTGCTTACGGTAAATACATTAATAAATGCTATTCACTGAACTTTCTATTCATCAAAGAATCCTGAAAAAACATGTGCACATTGATAATAATCAGAAATGTTTCCCTGAATCCCTGTCAGCATTTAAAAGACAACTAAAAACTTGTCTCTTCCGTGAGCACTTAACATGATAATAATAATAAAAAAAAACCTTTTCTTTTAAATCCTTGCTTATCTGGCTTATACTACGCCTAAGCTTTGTATTTTGAGCACTTGCGTTGTTTTTGCCTCTTTGCGACGACTCGCTTGGTTTAGTCCTCAGTCGCTTTGGATAAAAGCGTCTGCTAAATGACTAAATGTAAATGTAATGTTTCTTGAGCATTTTCTTTGTAACGTTTTCAAACTTTTGACAGGTACCGTGTGTATATATATATATATATATATATGTGTGTGTGTGTTGATTTCCCAAAATGAAACTCACCGAGGGCAAACTCAGACTGTCAGAGGAATCAAAACTGCAGCGGCGATGGGCTTTGTATTGGTGAGCTGGCAGCAGAGTTGAGCGAGGAATACTGACCCTGAAACAAACACAGAGACAGTCAGATACTGATGCTCATTCACAGAGTAATATGAATCAAGTCTTCGAAACGGCAATTTTTATGAGCTATAATGTCTAATGCACATTCATTTCTGTCTACAATTGTTTTTTTGTTTTGTTTTTTATGGTATAAATATTATTTCCAAACCACTTCAAGATTTGTTACCACAACATTTGTTCTTTTGTCAAATCAACTTAAATAATTTATTTAGTTCAGATAACTTATTATTTTGAGTTTCTGATGATTAAATTAATCTCCTTCATTGTATTAACTCACTTTTTCCAGTTCAACCAACTTAAAATTTTAAGGCAACCAGGTTACTTACTTTTTCCAAGTTAAACCAACAATATTTTTTACAGTCTAAAGAAAATGGCATTTTTCTATTTCATAATGTTCAGACATCTTAATTTGTTATTGCCCTTTAAAAACAATTTAACTAAACAACTATCTAAACTATTTTAGATTTTTGTATGAAACACTACAGTTCAAAAGTTCTCTTTTTAAAAGAAGTCTCTAATTCGATACAAAATACAGTAAAAACAGTAATATTGTGAAATATTATAATCAATTAAAAGAAATATTTTCAATTTGAATAACTTTTCAAATGTAATTTATTCCAGTGCTGAATTTTCAGCATCATTACTTGATGCTTCAGGAAATCATCTTTGCTGCTCAAGAAACATTTCCTATTATTATTATCAATATTGTAACTTTTGTAACATCATAAATGTCTGTAGTCACTTTGATCAGTTTTATGCATCCTTCCTGAATTAAGTATTAGCTTAAAAAAAATCAAGTATTAGCTTAAAAATTAATACGTTTTGAAAAGACAATTATTATTCTGACAATTGAGCAAATTCATTTTTACCTATTTGTAAAACGTGATCTGTGTAATCAATTGCAATCAACTTGTGGTTAATTACCAAGATACACATGCATGCATGCATGCAAAATAACATCATCCCTTATCGGGAGATTTAATAAAACGTAAGACTTATCTGATCCAAACCTGTATGAATAATTATCAATCATGAATTATTAATTATGATATGCAAATTCCCCAAATTCTCAGATAGACCCCCAGTCTCTACAATATTGATATTGAATTCTTTTGTAACATCATAAATGTCTGTAGTCACTTTGATCAGTTTAATGCATCCTTGCTGAATTAAGTATTAGCTTAAAAAAAAATCTGACCCCATACTTAGTGTTAAAAAGACATTGCATAAACACTTTGCTGTGTTCACCTGATTAAAGCAGGCTCTGTTTCAGTGTGAGGGTGTTCAGATTTGGGCATCTTGCACACTGGACAGGCGGCCCGTGCGTCCAGCGGAGCCGCAAACAGTCGGCTGTTTATCCTGTAGCAGAACGTGCCTGTGGACCGAAGGCCGAATGAAAACGAAGACTTCAATTCTCTAGTACCTTCATGACGTGCAAAAGGGATGTTGTGAAACACTAATCAGCAGATCTCTTACACTGATGTGTGTCTGCAGGCGTCTGCGGCTCCTCGCCATCAAATGTGGAAGACACAAGATCAGCAACAGATGGAAGCCTGTGAGAAAGAACAGCATTTGCATAATCAAAACAACTTTTGACAAGGAAGACTTGAGATGTCTCCGAATTATGCCCACGTGTTATAGTGATTTTACCATGGTTAGGTGGTTTTACACATCTAACCTTCATTGGATTATGCAATTACTCGTTATTTATCACGGTTTCATCGTCTAACAATTTTACAGAGAAAGACCGACCCTGATAACAAGTCGTTGATGCACTCATCTCGGTTGACCTGACGGAAGCTGCGGAGCTCGCTGAAGAACTGCTCAGAGCGATCGGCAAGAGAGCTCTCGGCGTCCAGGAGGCCTACAAACAAATCAAACCAAGCGGTTTACTGGTTTTCAAACAGCACCTGCACCGGAAAACTGTAATTATTCAAATAACTTACCTGCTATCCAATCATAGCCTAGTAAAGGCTGTATGTGTCTCTCTGATACAGTCTCCAGTCCAGCAGTCGTTGCGCTGTCAGTCTCACTCTGCAGTCCCAAGGAAAAATACACAATACACATCTGGTACTCTTGAAATGAAAACACTCGGTCGCAGATGGGGATTTTTCTTTGTAGGTGCTTTTTTCAC